CAACGAATAATTCGGTTATACACAGTTTATTTTTAAACTCTGTCTCAAAAAAACAAATCGCACTGAATCGCGAAAGTTTAGTTTGTTTTTGATTAGTGTTGAGAATATTTCCGCAAAAACTGCAAAGTGTTATAGTGTTTTAAAAAAATTAGTGATTATGTAGTGTGATATTGATGTGTCTGTCTTCTAGTATGAGTTTTTTTTTAAATTGTGATCACACATGTTATAACTTCTGTATGAACAAGGAAAAATGATTACTTTAAATATTATCACAACATATTATCCAAAAAAAAAATAATTGTGTCATGACTGAATATACCGGGTGCGTCTCAAAAGTACCCCTATAACTTTTTTATTTTTTCAAATAAAAAAACAAGATTTGGTATGTTAGTGTTAGTATATAACATAAATTAGGATTGATTCACGTACTCAGTTGTTTTTGGTCACTTCCTGTTTTACCGGAAATGACTTCAACTTTTGATTTTTAAATGGCACCCTCGGTATTTTTTCACTTTATTCGATAGAAAATGTCACTCTGAATAGAATGACATATCATATGTCAACTTTTGACATTTTCGCATATGATTTATTTGAAATTATAACCTGCGGTTCATAACAAAAATTTGACTCGAAATACCGAAAAGTGTGTGGTATCAAATTATTCGTAAAAAATGCTTTTTCCAAATATGCTATTGAGCCACCCTCGTTCCATTTGAAAAAATTGAGATCTGATTGAAAATACGATTTGGGCTGCTTTTAACCGGCCAGGACAAGACACTAAAAAGATTAAACGATCAAATCTATTTTTCCACGGACCCTTGATTAAAAATTAGTGTTTTTAACATAGCCATGGCACTCTAGATTGAAATTTAAAATACAATTTTTTATTAAGCGAGAATGTCAAAAGTTGACATATGATATGACATTCTATTCAGAATGTCATTTTCTATCGAATAAAGTAAAAATATACCGAGGGTGCCATTTAAAAATCAAAAGCTGTAGTCATTTCCGGTGAAACAGGAAGTGACCAAAAACAATTGAATACGTTAATCAATCCTAATTTAGGTCATATGCTACCATACCAGGTCTCGTTTTTTTATCTGAAAAAATAAAAAAGTTGTAGGGGGTGAGCCACTTTTGAGACGCGCTTGTGATATACAGAATTTTATATACAGGGTGAGTCTTAAATAAGTGCGAATATTTTCAAGGCTATGGTAGATCTCGATAAAAGAACCATATTTTCTCTTTACCGTTTTTCAAATAACTCCAAAATAACCGAGTTATTTACTTTGAAAATTAAAAAGAATGATTTTTTAGTTAAATTTCGAGAACCACTTATTCTTTTCTGAGTTTTTTTTTTATCTACTAGCCTACCTATGTAGCTATGTCATCATTATGTTTTTTATCTTAAAATTAAAAAATTTTCAAAAACTTCCGAATATTCAATTTTTTTTTCACGAAAAAACAAACTCATAATCGTGTTTCTGGGGTCGAAATATACTAACCCTAAACATATTTCCACTTATTTAATACTCACCCTGTATAATCCGTTTATTAAAGAATTTTACGGTAGAATTTAGATATACCGGGTGCTCTTCAAAAATGGCTCACACATATAATTTTTTTAGATAAAAAAAAGGGATTTGGTATGTTAGCAATATGACATAAATTAGGAGTGATTGACGTATTCAATATTGTTTTTGGTCACTTCCTGTTTCAACGGAAATTACTACAACTTTTGATTTTTAAACGGTATCTATACGCGGTAATTCTTTACTTTATTTGATAGAAAATGACATTCTGAACAGAATGACACATCATAGACACATCATAAAAAATGTTTTTTTTTTAAATATGCAAATGAGCCACCCTCGTTCCATTTGAAAAAACTGGTTATAAATATGATTTGGACATCTTTCAACCGGCCAGAAAAAGCCACAAAAAATATTAGAGGATCAAATTTATTTTTCCAAAACTTCTTGATTAAAATTTAATAATTTTAACACGGCCATGGAACTCCAGATTGAAATTTAAAATGTTATTTTTTTAATTGTGTGTCATTCTATTCAGGATGTAATTTTCTATATATGATATTTAATGATTATTACCAAACATTACTATTTTTACAATAATTATTAGCTTTGCGTGTTTACAAAGGAAATTTAAACCATAAATACAATTTTTTAGTAAAAAATTGTTAAAACCGCAGGTAAACCTTCCAGTGTATACACTAGCTTTTAATCCATCTTAGCTGATAGGTAAAAGGTACTAAAACACTTTTACTGAACCATTTGCTTGAAACCTCCCGTATTACTATCAATATTTTCCATGCAAGTTAAAATTATCACGTCGCTTGGATAAATATTTTGTAAATAAAAATGGTAAATAAGTGACTTGATAATAAACAAAATACCAGTGTTGTTGTACTTTTAAACTAACATAAAATTATGTGAGAAATATTTCGGATTATCTACAGGGTGGACGAACTGTTATTGTATTAGAATTGCTGGTTAGTTATTTTAATTTATTAGCTTTCCAAAGTTAAATCATTATTAAATTTTATATCTAATATACATATTTATTTAATTAGTATCAGTGTTTACATTCTTATCTGTCTATAATGTCATTACATAATTCCTTTGTTTATGATTCACATATTCTCAATTTTTACATTGCGTTCGTTAGTTTATATTCAGTGATTTGTTTCCAACCACTGACTGCACTGAAACGATGTCAAAAATAAATGGATATTCTGGAAACTACTTAGCTAAGCGATAAATCGTATGTTTTTTGAGCATATTAGTTCACTTTAATTTAGCTTTTAAATTTCGCAGCAATATTTCTAGAATTTTTCTTCTTTTAGATTATTTCTCACGCCCAAGTAGCATTCTCACGACTTGCGACCACATGTTTACTAAACACAACGTTGGATTAGTTACAAAAAATAGTTAGCTCCGTACCTTGGCTATTAAAATAAACGTAAACGTTGTTGTAACGTTGTGCCGACGTTGAACTAGTACTACAACAAAGTAAAAGCTTCTGCGACGTCGAATAAACGTTGTCTTGTGACCTTTTTTGCTTAAGTTTTCTTTAGGTGATTCGGACAACGTAGTTACAATGTTGAGCAATAAAGAGTTTTCCGACGTCACTTTCAAGACCTATTCCAACGTTATGCAAACGTCGTATGTTTTACTAATTCCAACGTTGTTTAGATTTCCTTATTCTTACGTTGGTAGGACGCCGAGCCACTACCTTTTTGCAACTGTATTGAACCATAACCTTAAATCTTAAATTTTCACTACATTGTTCTGTTCAGTCAGACAGTTCAGTGCTGTTTTTGTTTTTATAAAAAAAAAACTTTTATTTAGAATATAGGGGGCGGCACAAGCTAGACTCTAGGATGACTAAATTAGGCAATCTTGCGACTAGTACTACCTGTTAAGGCTGAACTGTGAGTTTATTAGTCCAGGTATGCGACTACTCGAACTACTCCATCTTAATCTCCAAAACAACAAAGGGAAAGCCGCCATGTTGATGAATAAGAAAATATTTCGTTCCTAAAATAGCAATTCCTGCTTTTTGAATACACCAGCTTGAAATATTTTACCCTAAACAACACGCGGAAACAGTTTTTTCGACTGCGAATAAATTATTCTCATTTTTCTAAAAAAAAATTCAAGAAATTTTTTAAAACTTCTTTAATTTTAAGGCCCATTAGTATTTTTCAAAGTAGAAACAATACATTTATCAGTAAAGTTGTTTGCGTTTAACTTTTTTGCCTTGGGTAGCGAGTTACAGAGTCGGTTAAGTGTTTCAATAATTATGATCTTCAAACATCCTCCACACTGAAATACTTTTGTTTTGTTTTCCTTTACTGCCATCTGGCATATGTCTCTAACTAAATCATAAAAATAATATTTTTACTATAATTATGCCAATTTAGGATAAAACGCGACTTAGACGCCATATTATTATAGTTTTGTATTTCTGTGAATTAGGATTTTAAACAACGTTGCAGTTTGTACTAAATTAGGTTGCTAGCCAACGTAGGTATCCAACGTCGTTTCGACCTGTTTCGACCCAGCGAGTGGCACGAGGTTGTGCAGACGTTGCGCCCCGACGCGACGTTTGGTCGCGTGACACGACGTTGTCCCGACGTCCAAATGCTGCTTGGGTCTGCTCCATGAAAATCATCATCATCTTTTTCAGCTTATTGAACCAATTCCATTTATGGTGTAGTTTCCCTCACATATTTAGATACTCTTTAATTGGATCCATTGTTGTCTATTGTTGGCTATGCGGGCCCAAGTTATCTCTGCTAATTTCTTAATATCATGGTCCCATCTCAGGTTTGGTCTTCTTCTAGGTCTCTTGATTCCTCGTTGGTGCTTGTAGTTCTTCGGTACCCCTGACAATTAGGACTATAAAAGGTGATAAAAAAAATAATATTTTTAACAGTACATTAAAATTAATAAGTGTTGTGACAACGCGAAAATGAATGAACATGAACAAAACGGTAGTGTTGTGAGTGATTCGGACAGTGTCAGCAATGAAGACGAGTACTTTTTCGATATGCACGAGGGCCAGTTTGAATTTTTAGGGACCGGACAGTACCAGAAAAGGAACCACGAAGATTCTGACAGTACCTTGATGTACTCTGACAGTTTGAGGAAGCATTTGGAGAGTGTGTCAGACGATGAAAGTTCTGTAGGTTATATACATTATATACCGGGTGTGTTTCAAATGTGGCTCACCGCTATAACTTTTTTATTTTTTTTAACGTAATGCATTGTTTTATTTTTTATTTAAGAAAAACGAACTTAAATATCGTCAAATTAATCACATTATTTAATTTTGTTTTTTTTTTGACGATTGCGTCAACATCCGATAAATATATGAGTTTCTTAATTTTATAGCCAACAAACGAGCAAAATCAAACTAGTCTACTATTTCAATAATTTGTTGATTGCTCTGGATTTATATTTTTTCTCTTGTTTCAGTTTACAGTTTTACAACAACAAGTGGGAGTTCTGCAAGACTCTGCCCAGCAAACCGACGAAAGGTATACAAGAATTAAAGCAGACAATGCTGCTCTACAGGCTAGAGTTATCATGCTGGAAGAACAGCTGAGGGACACAGAGCTAAGATGTGAAGAAAAACTACAGGTACCACTTGCTTTTTTTTAATTTTACTTTACTACATATTTTGATGCTGCTTTTTAAGATTCACAATAATTTCACTGTAGTTCAAGCCCTGACACTGTCTTTCCAGATTTATGTACTTTGCACAAAACCCATTATAAAATAAACAAGGGCTTGATCTATTATATGTCCTGCATTTCGATGTCAATACAAATTAATGACGATGGTTACTCTCTCTTTTAGTCGATAATTGTTCAAATTATTACTTAATTATTCCGATTATTAGGTAACGAAATATTACTAATATTCTTACAAATGATATAAGATTGTTTAAAAAGTGTGTAAATACTATTGATACAATTTAATAAGAACAGTTACGATTTTGAATGCAGCAGCAAATGCAATTATTATTTTAATATTCTATTCAACTTAAAACAAAGCAATTAAAAATTAGACGTATAAAGAAAAGTGAGAGTTAAGGAAAGCGATTGTCGAATTGAAGAAGAATTGCTTCAAAACGTTATAAAAACTATCATTACGAATTATAAACAGTGAGAATATAATAACAGAACAATAAATGGCATCATTTATTTGTTCGGGGTTGCCAAAGTTGCACACAGCTCAAGCCGAATTTTGAAGAAGTTGTTTATTTTTTTAATTTTGCATTAGACATTGAAAATTTGGTACATTTTTGAAGCAAGTCTAAAACAATTTTTTGTGTCGTGAAATATTCAATTAAAAAAAAGTAATTATCTATCATAATTAAGTATTAAGTACATCTTTCCGTTATATTACAACAAAAATTGGAAATACGTTCTTTGTTCAACGTTATAAATTTTAGTAAATTACTGGTGGCTTGAGTGATTTACCGTTGTACAGGGTGTCCCATTTTAGTTGAAATCATACGGTATCTCAGTTGTTATTAGTGAAGATAGAAGGGCGCGGTTTGCACAAACCTGTCCCACGTTTTTTTTCAAATGGAAGATGCCGTAACCAAAATTTTCATAGCCCTCTTCGTTTCTGAGCTACAGGGTCTTTTTGAAAATTTTGCAATTTGGGACACCCGCTGTATCTCTGTTATTGTTAAATGTCTCGAGAAAGTGAAAACTGTTTATTGTAGTTTTTTTTTACGTAGAATACAATGGCGTAGTCTGTTATTCTACGAAAAGAATATTTTTAAAGATATGAACTAAACTTATGTTTACTTAAATGGAACACTCTGTATATTTATAAATTATATGATCTGGCTTATATCACTTTATATTTATTTTCACTATTTACTGCAATATTTTAAAAAAATATATTAAAAGGTCATATTTATTAGTAGGCCATGATTGGTAATAAGAGAAACTAAAGAATAATTATTAAAAGTATACTGCTATCTGTCTCTTGTTTTATTTTGAGAGCCACTAATAAATTCTTTATATATTAGGGAAACTTTACTCTCTACCGTTATTTGTAAATCTTGGAAGCTATCGTATCGGAACTTTTAAATATTCCTTTAGCTAATTTACGTGAAATATACTTTCAGCAAGATGGGTCTCCCCTCACAACTTAACTTACAACGAAAATATTAGAATTTTGTTAAATTATTATTTCCCAAATCCCAAATCAATGAATTGGGGAACCAATGGACTCATATGATGGCCGTGATTCCCGGATTTGTCCGTTCTCGATTTCTGATTTTTGGGCTTTTTGAAATATGAAATATATCGTGGCAACTAACACAATGTCGAACACCTGGAAAATGCTTTAATAATGCAAGCTTTATAATAAATTCCGTTATAAAAAAAATATATTCAGAGATTCAGTTGTAACAGTTCAAAATTAAAATATATCAATTCCAAATAAAATTTTAATATAATACCATTTTGATTTTTTGTTATTTATCACGGCCTACTAATAAGAAAATTATATATATTTTAAATATTGCAGTAAATAGTGATAATAAATATAGAGTGATATATACATTTGAGAAGCTCATAGCAAGGCGGATCATATAATTTATATACAGGGTGTTCCATTTGGAAAAATATAACTTTAGTTCACATTTTCAGAATGTTTTTAACACACTACTCCACTGTATTCTACGTGAAAAGTTCTACAAGAAACTGTTTTCACCTTCTCGATATCATCCATAATAACGGAGATACGGGGGCTGTCCCAAATTGCAAAATTTTCCAAAATACCCTGTAGCTCAGAAACGAAGAGGGCTATGAAAATTTTGTTGACAACACCTTCCGTTTGACAAAAAAGTGACACAGGTTTGTGCAAACCGCATCCTCCGATCTTTACTAATAACCGTATGATTTCAACCAAAATGGGACACCCTGTACAAATTACATTTTTTATGTTTCTAATGTTGCAAATAATTTAAAATCGGCTTAGCGGAAGAGTATAAAAAATGATAGGTAGGCCTCAGTACTTTAAAAAGTTCCCCGGATTTTCACTCCAATATTTACATTATCGTAAATTTTATTAAAAAAAAAGAGAAAAATTAAAATGAAAAGTTTAACACCCTATATAAAAACAATTCTTTTATAAGCAATCACCTCCTAAATTTCTCTAACTTATTCGTTCATTTGTTTAATTTGATTTCTAGGATGAACAGCGTAGATCGAAAGAGTTGGTGCATAGGATAGAGAGGGAAAAACAGCTGCAGCTGGAAAACGCGTCTATAAGGCTGCAGAATGCGCAAAGCGAGTGTGAAAAACTGCGCGACGAGGTGGGCAGACAGCGAACGAAACTGGAAAAGCTGGAAAAACAGAAGGACGACCTGAGCAGCCAGTTACGCGACGCCAACTACGAACTAAGCGAGGCTAGGGAGGAAGTCAAGGAATGCAGGGATAGAGAAAACAGGTAAAGCCAGTAAGTTATTGTGTCCCCCTTTCTTGAGTTATAACTTATAACTCATCATACAGGGTGGCGCCTCTCATACGCCGCGAAAGCTCCACCGATATAACACACAATATCCGCAGGATATTCATAGAATGTCGGAATGTCCCATTATAAGATCATCTTATAAAGACATCTATAGGATATCCTCCAGACATCCTGAAATCCTGTAGATGTCTCAGAATAGAATATCCTATGGATATCTCTGTCGCATATCTAATGTACATCCAGCTGAGATATCCAAACATGCTCATGTATATCAAATATCCTAACAATATCGTCTAGATATTTAGGAAAAATAAATTATGTACTACTTTTTATATTACATAAAATGCAATAAACCATACAGATGGATATATATTACGTCAAGGCAACAAAATATCCTGTTGGTATCTTCTGGAAAATTTGGATATTTATGAGCTTGGCCACTCCCAGTAATACAGAGAATTTAAAACGCCCGCGCAAAAAATTTCCCACAATCCATCTCGACACTTGTTTGTTTTTGCATCGTGTATTATTCAGTTCTTTGATTTAGTGAAATTCGAGGTGAATTCGGTCGTTTGTCGATATTGAATGGGCTTAAAAATGACTGAAACTAATAAAACTGGTTGAGTTTGACTTAGTTTTTTCTTAAGCCCCGTTCTCAGAACAGCGACTGTCGCCAGCGACACGTCAAGAGGACCAATGAGATTTGTACAAAATTCAAACAGCTGTCAATTTTAAATTTAGTACAGCTCCCATTGGTCGTTTGAAGTGTCAATCAGTGTCGCTGTCGACACGACGCAGTTCTGAGAACGGGGCTTTATACTCATAGTTCTAGCCAGAGGTTCTAGCCTTGTTCTAGCAGAAATTCTATCCTAACCTCAACTAATGTCGAAAAACGACGAACGACTCAGGGTCTCACAATGAAAAATTTGTGACAAAATTATAGGTGAAAATTTGTTGAAAAGCGCTCGTTCTTTATCCGTAAACCCATTTTCGTGTTTGATCTATTCGAATAGAAATCCTATTTTTGTGTTTAAATTGTGAGTTTCTGGAATGTGTGGTGTTAGAAATTATACGTGTATCCTGTGTGCCACTGTGTGCTAACTTTAATGTAAACTGTTGCTGCTAGACATAAACTGCTAGACTCCATAAAGGGTAGTATAATCTGGTATAATACCAAACGATCGAAAAAAACGGCGTCAGAGGTGGCTTGGAAATGAAGATTGCTGTTATTTTGTATGTAAAATTATATGGGGAATGTCATCGATCGTAATTTTCAAGCCAATTGAACGCCGTTTTTTTTTCGATGGTACAGTATAAATTGAAAGGTCTTAACTCATACAAATAAACTTCTAAATTTTGACGCAAAATTCATTGACATAATATGTAGGTATATTTTAGAGCTGTTAATAAAAATATCCAATGAATAACGTCAAAATGTGGCTAAATAAAACTAAATCGGGAACGTTTTTACTATAAACTAAGGATGAAGAAAGTATTGTCAAATAACAGTCCTCATATAATAATCTAAAAATATTCTATAATGCTCCCAACATCATCCTTGTATTATCCTATTAATATCCCAAATAATCGTAAAAGGCTTGCCTAGGGATATCTTGAAGATGATTTTTTTTGTCCCATCTGGATATCCCATAAATATCCTCCTCTGGTTTTTGGATATCCCTAAGATATTTACTATATCCTTGGTGGATATCCTCAAGATATCTATAGGATTGTGTTGTGTTATATGGGCAAGGAGAACTGTAGTTTATAGGTATATCGAAATGAAATTTTGGCAGCATATGTAGGTTAACTGAAAGCATTTTATAAAAATATAAAGAATTATACAGGGTGCCCCCAAAAAAATTTACACATCAAAGTTGTGTTTTTTCTAATGGAACACCTTATATATTAATTGATTTTCGGATTTTAGGAATAAAATAAAGGTGAGTTTCATTAAAGAAGCATATACCTAAAATCTAAGGATTTTGACATATTTCACATTTTGTGAAAATGAAGAGTAAATTTGAAATTTCGATAACAGCTACCTAAATTTTAGTTGACCTTGTATAACCTGATATTTAATTACAGTAACCATTGTATGTTAAACCAAATTGAAATTTGACCCGAAAAGTTATACGGGGTGAGACAAAATTAATACGGAACATTAGTCACATTTAAAAGGTTACTCCTTTATTTTAAATGGAACAACCAGTATATTATTTCGGTATTCAATGGGGAATTTATATATCTTCAAAATATTATTAAGGTTGTCTACCTCTCAGACAAAGATTTTCCTAGATATTTTAATTTTTATGGTTTTGCGTCAGTAGATTTTTATTATTTGAAAAAATCTAGGGGGTGGCTGTGATATACCTTTTGTTAATTTCACAAAAATTAAAGATTGTAGAGTAAAATACTCAACGGTTATAAAAAGATACACGTTTAAAACATATTTTAATTATTGCAGAATTAAAACTAGATATAAACCTATAATTATGTGACAAAAATTAGCTAGTTGAAATCGAATGCTCAAAATGCTTTCCTGTTAACTACATAAAATAATTTAAGTCTTTTCAGAAGGATCTTTTTATTTTAAAAGGCATTTATGTGGAGTTCTACCTCGAAAAGCAGCTACAATAATTTCTCTCATGTTGTCGACAATAGTTGGTCGAGTTTTGTAAACACTGTCTCTAACATATCCCCATAAAAAAACCCAGACTAGATAAAATCAGGAGCATTTAAGTATTCTATTAATTGGTGAATGCACACTGCATTTATCAACTAATAGAATCATATCAGTTCTTTCTGATGTAGGATAAGTTTGCATTTTCGGAAATTTCTGAGAATTTAACTGACACTATTTGTTTTAACTGACACAAAATGATAACTAGTTGTTAAGTTGGACTAATTAGACAGCTATGTTGAAGTAACGTCAGACATATCACAGCCACCTAGATTTTATGAAATAATAAAGATCTACTCAGATCAAATCATGTAAATAAAAATATCTAGGAAAATCTTTGTTTGAGGGGTACGCAACTTTAATAATATTTTGAAAAGACATGAATTCTCCATTGAATATCGGAATAATATACTGGGTGTTCCATTTAAAAGAGTAACATGCTTTTAAAGGTGGCCATTGTTCAATATTAATTTTGTCTCACCCTGTATAACTTTTTGGATCAAGTTTTAATTTGATTTAAAGTACAATAGTTAATTTAACTACATATTAGGCTATACTGGGTAAATTCCAAATTAGGTAGCTTTTATTGTAATTTAAAAATTGTTCTTTATTTCTAGAAAATGTTAAATATGTCAAAAACCTTACATTTTAGTCATATACTTCTCTTATAAAACTCTCCTTTATTTTTCTCACAGAATCCGAAAATCAATTAATATATAGGGTGTTCCGTTACAAAAAAAAACACAACTTTGATATGTAACTTTTTTTGGAGACACCCTGTAGAACTCTATATTTTTAAAAAGTGCTCTGAATTAACCTACATATGCTGACAAAATTTCATCACGCAACTATTTTACTGATAACGACTGCACTGTTTCCCCCTATTTCAGACTGATCAAAGACCACGAGAACCACATCCAGCTGCTGGAGGACCTCTCCAAGGAGATCGACCGGCTGAAGGCGGAGACGCGCACGCCCGCGCTGCCCACCACCAGCCCGGACACGCTGCGCCTCGAGGAGCTGCACGAGGAGATGTCGGCGCTGCGCGCGGCCAACGGCCAGCTGCGCGAGGCCAACGACGAGCTGCAGGCCAGCCTGTTGCACGCCGGCCTCGAGACAGGGCAGCGCATGCTCACCAACGGCGAGACCAGCCTGGCGCGCGAGCTGGACATCATGTCGCACGACGAGGTGAGTGTCACGGCCAGTACTGCCTTGCGCGCAGTGACGTAACTACCGACGTCGTGACGTTCAAACGTGTTCGACGGAACACGGGCCCGCGAGGGGCCTCTTGCATGCCTTACAAATTCATATTGAACAATTTGTGTACTGTAAAATAGATATACATACATACAGAGGCATCTTTGTAAAAGAGTATACCAATTAGATATACCACCATTATTTCCACTCAAATAATAATTAATTACATACTTAATTGTGTTAGTTAATAAATTATCCTAAATAAATTAATGTGGATTTGAATCAGAAATCAATATAATAATAAGTTATGAATGCGAACGTCTCTGTTGTGGAAGGTTCCTCAAATAACTTAAGAAATTATTCTCTAACTCTTCCAGGTACACCAGGCCTTGAAGGAACAACAAGAGGTCAACAGGCAGCTGAGAACGTACATCGAGGGCATTCTGCTCAACATAGTTGAAAATCACCCTCAACTGCTCGAAGTCAAACAGAAAAAGAACGGTCTAAAGAACTAGAAATAAGTCTAGGTAACGGTTGGTTCATATTTCAAATGTTAGTCCTAGCCTTACCCTTAAGGTGCGTCCACATTGTTGGTGATCCTGTCGCGCTCTTGCTTCTGATTGTGCTCGCGTTGCTTGCGCTTCCTGTTTGTCGTGTTTCTCAAAATCTTTCGGCTCGCAAGCAACGGCGTCCACATTGTAATGTAGTGCTTGCGTTCGTGCTGTTCGGACATGGATGATACCGAAATATTTTTAATAGCGGCTGCTAGTGCGATCATTATTGCGAAACGAAGGAGACAAAGAGAAAAAAGGCAGTGTTGGATGTCTAATAATTTCAAAAGTAGATCCCAGCACAGTGAAAGTAAACATCTACGCAATTTACAAACAGATGTTTTTTAATATTTTTTATCGCATGTCCGCAACTGATTTTGAAAGACTTATTAACTTAGTTGGCCCCCGTATAGAAAGAAAAAATACAACTTTAAGGAAGTGTACTCCGGAAGAAAGAGTTTAGATTGGCCATAACATTAAGATTCTTTGCAACTGGAGACTCACATACCAGCTTGGGTTATTTACTCAGAGTTTCCAAGCAAAGCATTTCAAAAATAGTACCAGGCGTATGCCAAAATTTAAATAAAGTTCTCAAAGATCAGATTAAAATAAGTAGGCAATATAAATACAGAGTTATATTTTATTAAAGCTATATTTAATATTATTAATCTAAGAACAAAACACAACTTTTTAATAAAAAAAAAATAAAAAAAATCATGGTAGCATCATCATACTGGAGTAAATACCGAATCTTATGAATGAAACCAAACTAAAAACTAAAGAAATAACGCAAACGGCTCGAGCGCTTCGAACCGCCGCGCCGTAAAGTATGCTCGCATGGCTCCGAAGCGTCTCTTTGGTGTACCGCGACAGAGCCGAACAATCGAAACAGGCATTTTACGTGATCGCAAGCACGTGGAGCACCGCGAGCGCCACGAACATCTCGCTCCGACTGTTTGCCACGTTTTTCGTGTTTCACGTGTTCGTTCGGCCTGCTCGCGAGCAATGTGGACGCAGCTTTAGGGTGGGTTAATACCTACCCTAAAATTGTTAACGTTAGGGTTAACATCTGAAGCAAGAACCAGCCTTAAAGCACTGATGGGCCAATAGTTCCTCACAATCCCATTGGATCCGTACAAAAGTATACAGGGTGGCAAGTTAAAAAAGTAACAGTCATGTTTAGACACACGGTGTCCCATATAGTAAGAAACTAAAGTTTTCTTTTTTTAAATATCTTTTTTATTGATTTTTAAAAAAAGGTTTTTCGTATTTGTATCACCCTGTATATGTAAAGTGCACTCAAACCCATATCTGCATAAAAATCTTGAGATAGTCCGTCCTCTTTCATTCTATAATAATTGATGTGATATTTTAGAGAAATCACTGTGATTTTTATTGTTTCGTTTAAAGATTGTTTTATATAGCAATAATGATACTAAAAAGTTGAATCTGTTCATGTTAATTAGAATATTTTGTTGTTGTATACATATCTCCTTTATGTCTAGATTCAAAGGAATGTTTTTTATGTATGAGGTGCCACTTTGGTTGCAAATTTTGGTTCTTTTCGTTGATTGGTAACGAAAGAGCAACAATATTGCAAACAAAATTGTTGGGACACTCTGTACAAACAATACACTGTCCGGCACGACACACGGACACCTTAAAAAAATTATTTATTTTAAAGTTAAATATATTTTGTTCTGGTGGGCCGTTTTTTGGTGATTTTTAGGGTTCCGTAAAAAAGTTACTGAGATAAATCAAAAAAGAAACTATCCACAAAAGATGCATTTTGATGGCAAAGTTATTTTTAAATGCCTTACGTTATTGTACAGGGTGTCCCACTAAAAATAGCTCTCGGCTGTATCTCGGAAAGTATTAGCCGTAGGTGCTGCGGAAAAAAATATTTGTGACTAAAGAGGCTATGGGAAATTGCTGGAAATTATTTTCAAGTTTGTAGAACGACCGCTAGGGGACGCAACTGCAACAAAAAATAAGAAAATGGAGTTTTTACACAATTTTGCCTAGATAAGGTGTACTATAAGTAATAGCTTCTTAATCTTCAGTAAATTTTGAATATTTTTTGTTAGAGCCATTTTCCCCTATCTACCAAAATAAAGTGGTGGGGGAAGGTTAGATCTGTTTTTATTTAAATATTAATAACTCTGGACTGGATGATCGGAATCCAACAAGCGAGGGCTCGTTTAAAAGAGCGTTTCTTACTCTATATTATACCATATAAACAATAATAATAAGCTTTTGAACATAGACGCTAGGGGGCGTTGTCTTGCAATTTAACCAACATTGCGCGTTTTTTCAAAAAAATTAAATGCAATAGTATATGTAATTTTACCTGATCGGAAAGAGTAGAAAAAGCTTAAAGAGTCAGCGAAAACCGCATCTTGTTATCTTCTTTCAAACCGAAGATATTAGCAAAATTATAATAAATACCAAAAAATAAGCCCTTAATTACCTTATTTTTACAATACGGTATCAGTAGCCCTCTTGATTATGCCCATTTTAACAAAAAATAAGATAAAAACAGTTAGTTTATTTTAAAATCGACGAAATACCAGAATACCATAATACCAGAGGTATTAATATCTAATAATTAAGATATTAATAACAGTGGACAAGAAACGATGATTCAGTGAAGTCATGGTAGGCTTTGGAAAAAAGTTGCTTTTGACGTAATATTATAAACGTCAAATTGTTATCAGATCAACATTTTAATAGCCTTAACAGCGTTTTTTATTGCTTTTATTTTTTGAAGTATTTGAAGTTGTTGGCATTTTGAACGGCCCCTAGCGTCTATGTTCAAAAGCTTATTATTATTGTTTATATGGTATAATATAGAGTAAGAAACGCTCTTTTAAACGACCCCTCGCTTGTTGAATTCCGATCATCCAGTCAAGAGTTATTAATATTTAAATAAAAACAGATCTAACCTTCCCCCACTACTTTATTTTGGTAGATAGAGGAAAATGGCTCTAACAAAAAATATTCAAAATTTACTGAAGATTATGAAGATATTACTTATAGTACACCTTATCTAGGCAAAATTTTGTAAAAACTCCATTTTCTTATTTTTTGTTGTAATTGCGCCCCCTAGCGGTCGTTCTACAAACTTGGAAATAATTTCCAGCAATTTCTCATAGCCTCTTTAGTTAAATATTTTTTTCCGCAGCACCTACAGCTAATACATTCCGAGATACAGCCGAGAGCTATTCTTAGTGGGACACCCGGTACAATTCCACAGAGTATTTTAAACTTTCGGCAAAGAGTCTTTCGGCAAAATAACATGTCGTTTTCCCTGATCGGGACTATTATTAATGGGGAATTTTAAAATTTAAAAAGATGCTAAAAAGTCAAACAATTTAGCTACAAATATATATAATATAAAAATCGACCCAGTAGAACAAAATATAGTTGGTGTCCGTTTTTCATGCTGGTCATCGTAACGGTTTGTTAATAGCTAGGTAAATGAATATATGAATGGCGGAAGTACTGATATTTTTTATACGGTTATATATATTTTTATTTGTAGATAAATTATCGTATATTTTATAAATTATGTACATAACTCGTAAAGTGTAACATTGTTGTAATATATCTAATATACCTTGTTGTATAGCGAATTTTTGTTGATCTATAGATGTTCCAGGAGAGTCTTTAGAAGAGAAAAAACTTTTTTGTTATTAATATATATACTGAGATTCTATAGTAATATCATTATTTCGTTTTCATTCCTTGATGGATTGTTATTATTAATTTTGATTAACATCATATTTTCCGCTGTGTTAAATGTTAAAGAATCATAACATTTATTTAGTTCAATTTTACGGAAAAGGTGATTATAAATTTTGTGGTTCTTTAACATTTTAAACCAGCAAAAAATATGACGTTAATCAGAATTAATATAATCCATCTATCAAAGAATAAAAACTAAATAATGTCAGCATAGAAAATAGAAACGTGTTTAAAATTCTTGATACTTATAAGTAAAACAAAATCAATTATATTTTTCTCTTGGCGGTATGAAAATTTGCAAAAGTATAAACGGGATTAACCGTTTTAGAAAAAGCGATTGAAGACTTTTTTTGTTACACATAGAGACGATCCGGCGACATAGTGTACCTATATGTACAGGGTCTTTCACTCAACAGGTTTATTAATTAAAAATTTTTAGTAGAATTTAATTTAGGTACAAATTAGGCACTTCATTAAAAGGAACCAGTTGTGTAAAATACCCTGTATATTTATCACGATATTGTTCATTTATATCTGTAAATAAACTAAGAAAAATCTCATTTGAAATATTACTAATTTAAAGAAACAAATAAATATATTTTATATATACTTACAAGTTGTCAAGTTGTTAATTTGTTTATTACTCGCGGCAAGAGCTTTAAGGTTGAAATATGGCAACCTCGGCCCGCTCGTCGATAGACGACGCCAGACGACGCGACTGGACTTTTTATTCTTTTTAATCTAAGGACTGGACGAGTTGGCAGGAAACCCTATAAGTGCATGCGTGGCTAACGTCATATTCAAGGCCTGACTGTTTTGACAAGGTTTTGACAGTTCTACCGAAGTGGTCTAGAACCATAGATAAAAGAAAATAATCTACTATTAAGATAGATATGAAACTTAATAGTAAAATTTTGGGTCAAAGCGCCCCTCCGTGTTTTTAGTGGAGACTACGTTTAACCCAGCGCCTTCGCCTTTTCTGCTGTAAATGTTTTTTATGTTTATATTTGAATTCAAAGGATTTATTTTTAAAGTTACATTGATATATTAGTATATCAGAGTAACTTTAATAAAACATAAGAATATATATATTTTACAATTTATTTTTTTATTTATTTTTCATGTAAATGATCGTAAGTCGACTGGCTGTCTAATGAATAGACCGAGATTTATAGATTTTAAAGCGAACGAAAAAAAATCAAACAACGAATACATACCATATATTTTTCTTTTATCTAAGATACATACCTTATCGTCTTTTGGAAACACGTACATTTTGCAGTTTTGTTAGTTTCTTTGCAAGATGCAACACAACAAGAAAACACCATTTTACAGTTAATAAATAATAAAACTATTTCTGACTATGATATTTAAAATTTAGATAGATAGAAAATTAAAAAACAAACGATTATTTGCAAACGCAGGCCCAAATTCAATAAAAATCAAAATTTTTCCTGCGAAAATCAGGCTTTTTTCACTGAAAAGGTATTTTTTGATTTATCAGCAGTCATTGTCAAGTTGACAATATACAGGGTGCTTTCGAATTAGTCTAAAAAAATTATTGTGTGATTCCTCATGTGTTCTTAAAACAATTTTTATATAACCATTGGGTCTAAAGTACTTCCTTTCTGATCTACAGGGTGTTAAAAATTTAAAAAAAATCGATTTTTTTGCTTAACATAAATGGCACACCACTGCTTTTTTAAAGAAAAAACATTTTTTTTTCTTGACTGGCCGTCCTTTTTCAACAAAATTGATCTTTTGAGTTTTTCTTGTTCATCAAACGGTTGTTGAAAAAAAAATAAATATTTTTTTTTCAACAACTTTTGTGGTTCTTATTAAGAGCCCGCCTTAATTCGTTTTCTAACGATTTTTTATGTTTTAGATTAATTAGGAAACAACCTGTATATCCATATCACAGGCAACCAAATAAACTAGTAACCTCTAAAACTTATTTTTCCTACCACTAGCGACATACCGTGTTTTTAGTATGTACTAAATTATTTTATCAAAATTTCACCATATAAGTTTCCAGGCAATGTCCAGAACTATGGTCCAGAATTAGTAGTCGTAAACAAACCAATTGTTTTCATTAGTTTCGCAACAAATCTGTGTTTTTTACGCGTTTTTATGCTAATAAAATTATACTAAATAATTTTGAGTGAGTAGTGAACTATCTAGATCCGATTCATAACATCGTACCCGCGAAAAAAACCATACTTTCGGTAAAAATTATAGTAGATAACACCGGCGATGCCGGCTGCATAGCCGGCTGTGTGTCCGGACTAGGAAAAAGTTGGAGAATTTATATAAAAACATAATTAATAGCGCTAGTGTTAGTGTATAGTGTTAAACCAACGTAAGTGACGTGTATTTTTATGTAAAACAGTTTTCGTTTCTTTATTTTTACTTTGTGAAATAAACAATTCCGCGACATTGTTCTGTGCCTGTGCCTTGTAGCAGCAATTATAATAAGTCCTCAGGATCTGTCTACATTCTCTTTCCCAACAATATTAACTGTAACTAGGTCACGTCCAAAACCTACAGAACATGCTGTGCCTACAATTTTTCCAAATCAACCCTCTTATGGACCTTCTGTGCATGTTCCCATAAAGAGAAAACGTCCCGATGAAAGAAAACAAGATTTGGAAATTCAGGATGAAATAAATATTGAAAAGTATTATTATTATGAAATGGCAATATATTTTAAAGAAATTAAATGAATTTGTACTTTATTTCAGTATTTTATATAAAAAAAATGATATCTTTACCTTTTTATTTACGATTTATGGAGATGGTTACTTGATGAACATCGAACTACAAATTACGTAATGTTAATAGTTAATTCTATCTGATATCCACATTTTTTAAATATGTTAGGCAAATTTTTACAATTATTTTTAATTAAACTTTAAAATGTATTCTGCCGTTATCATATACAATACATTTTCTTAACTTGATAAACGTATAGTTTTCAAATTTTTTAATATTTGGAAACTTTTTATCACAGGTATATTATTACTAGTTGCTAAATACTCGCTAACGCAATTTTAGGACACGCTTTTTATTATCTAGATTTTATTTTGTTCGTCTTATGCTGTAGTTTACTTCATATTAATATTCGTGCTTTAGATCTAAATTTTAATGCTATTCAATTACTTTAACGCGATAAAAAGTTAATGTTATTTTTTAATACCTTTCTGTATAATATTTTTCATATTTATATCTGGCAAAACTATCAATAAATACTATTATGCAAAACCTATATGCAGTACTATATAGCACAATACAAAAGCCGGACTAGTGCGGTGACGTCACAAATCGATGTCTCTGGCCTGTCTGTCATGTTGGTCATGTGCACGCGTTCTCAATAAGCAGTGTTGCCATTCTGTTCCCCTATACGTAACTGTCCAGTTAACAATCTGTATAGTTTTACATTTTTAAATTTAATGATCTTTTCTCTATTATTGGATATGCGTACATCTGCTCTCCGCTAGATGGCACCAATAAAAATAAGAAAAATAAAACGAAAAATTTACTCCAAAACGATATTTCATTCTAAATAAATACTTTACAATAAGGCTTCTAAATCAAAGTTTATATGATTTTTACAAATTTTACCCTTTGTTGGCTGTTACTCGACTGGCGAGCAAGCAATTCCTTTTGTGGTCGACACACTCTTGGAAAGCCTGAACTATTTTAGCACACCTCATAGGTTCGTTTGGATAACACCTAGCAAGAGAAGAAAAAACACATTATTTTTAAAGAATTAACAGTATTATATCGTTACTTGTAGCATTCCATAACAGCTCTCTTCGATTCCAAGCAGGGAATTTCTTTCAAGACTTGGGTTGGCCTGCCTACTTTGAATTCTTCTACCTATAACACATATATTTTATATTGTATTACCACAGAATAATCATTGCAAATATAAACATAAAAAACGTGTAAAATAAAAAATTATATTTCTCTGGGTATTTTAAAAAATCACTAAGATTATAGAATTTTTTCAGTGTACAGAATGTCCCGTTTACATGTGTTTTAAGGAGTTTCTCGTTTATGAGGTTCTCAATTGGTTTCTAATATACAGGAGAATTTGAAAATGTTGCCTTTTCAGAACATTGGTCACGCTGTATGGAAAACAAATGAAATAAGCCACAGTAATTAGTCACTTACTGCTTTATTATATTCTTCTTCGATAACTGAGTTCATCTTTTTATGATTATCTTCGAGTGCCTTCAGTCTGTTACTCCAGTAATCATCATTCTTCTTTAGTTCAGCTACATTTGCCTTCAAATATCGAACTGTTAGCTCAATAGTGCAAGATAAGGACCCAACAATCTTACCTGTCGAATTTGAATACTCGTTAGGGAAGGTTCGTGTAGATAAACTGGCAGTACAGCAGTGTGTTGTGGATTAGTGATTTGTGGCACTGTAGGAGTTATGACTTCTGGTTTTCTTACCGCTGAAAAACAATACACTTTTAATGACCGCCTTACCTTATCATCCTAATTGGAAAACAGTAGTTATGTAATAACACAATTTCTATTTTTTTAAAACAAAAACATTCGTTAAAGAACTAACAAAATACTTAACACAATACTAATGAATTCGTAGATCTTCTAAAAGAGAAAATTTAATAGTGTTTTATTAAATATCCGAGAAAATATAATAAAACACATAAAGTAGGGTTACGATACGAACTTTGAGCTACTCCACGAATTCTATCTACGACATCGTCTGAAACTTTTATGACGCTATTTGGATCATTGTTTTCTAACGTTAGTCTTCTCGTTTTACTTGGGGTTCCTCCCATTTCGTGGTAAATGTTTTAAAATTTTCGGACAATATTCTCAAATTGAAATGACATTTCTTTTTCTTATTTCTCTTATTCTCTTGACCCATAGATAAATAAAATCTAGCCATCTTCCTTATCGAATGGATAAGAGATAGCATTAAATATCGATTTATTTGAAATATCGATAGGTGTGTAGGGTATCCCAAGAATGGACGTTTACGCGACTCTTGTTTTTACGTTTTGGTGAAAAATACACGTAAAGAATGTAAAAACCATTGAGAGATAATTAGCTGACTGTCAGTGTCTTAAAAATTAAGGAAAATTAAAACAAAAAATGCCGAAATAGACCAATAAGTGTAATTAAAAAATTTGCTAATTAATTAATAAATCGCGTGCAATGTAGTTAATATAGATTTAAGTAACAAAAATGCCAGCCAACAAACCCAAAGCCCAACCCTGTCAAATATGGATATTTTCATTGGATTATATCGATATATCAAAATAATCGATATATCTTCGCCATCTCTACCCCAGTTGACAATCAGCTGACTGTCATCGAAATTATGGAAAATCAAAACAAAAAATGCCGAAACAGATCAATAAGTGTAATTAAAGAATTCCCTGCCTGTCTCTTTAATCGCGAGCAGTGTAAAACATCTGTAAATAATGAAAATGGCTCACTCGATGCAAGGAATCTACGCTCCTCTGCCTCAATCCATCAGCGACTCCGATTCGGAAAAGGAAATCAGCATGGAACCCCTTTGTACTAGCTACGAGCCGAAAAACAAATTCGAAAATATTTACCGACAAAACGGACACGGCATGCATTTAGAAGACGATATCGTCAAGATCAAAAGAGGGGCCAGTAAAATGTCAGCAGCACGGAAGGTACTTTTAAAAAAACCCTAGTTTAATAGCATTATTATAAATTTGATTAATTTATAGGTAGCATTTGGGTGTTCTATAATTTTGTGTTTTCTTCCCATAATCATATTCTTGTGGGTGTTGCCGTGCACGGAGCTTCATACGTGCCCAGTAAAAATCTCCAATTGGGAGTACCAACAGGAAGAGATTGAATTGAAGGGACCAATCATGCTTGTCGGTGGCTTGTACAAGTCTAACTACAATTTAGCCATAATGTACAAAGGAAGCTTTAATAGTCCTAAAAGTCTCAAACATGGCGTTATATCTTTCATGGGATTAACTGGTAGCGTCGCTTGGGATCTGCAACAAGTCGTCGAACCTTATAAAATAAACTGTCAAATAATCGACAGCAATATGGACGGCACACTCGACTGTCTTATAATTGATAAAACGGTAATTATATTACGCTTTTTTTTTGTTAAGGGTCTTGGCTCAACTTTCGTTTAGCTGAAATCAATTATACAGGGTCGCTTTTATGTATGGGAACGGTCGATTATTAGGTAAAATATAGGAGGTACCGCAAAAAGTTAAATATAAAAGTTATAGGGTTTATAAATATCTATTAGCGGGTAATAAATTTAGGTATACAGGGTCGGGCATAAAGTCGTGGCACATCAAAGTTTTATTTTTTTAAGTGGAACCCCCTGTATATTATTGCATATTTCGGTTCTTCTTTCAATTCTAAGCAAAAATCGTAAGAAACGTCAAAAATTTATGTCGTTCGATCGCGACCAAATTTGGTTATATATAACCAAATTATATGTAACCTTACTTATATACAGGGCGCGCACCTCATTCGCCTCGGTTGATTATACGAAAACGGAAAGATGTTGAAACAAAATATTTTATGGATATATAGGGGGAGGCAATGTGCACAATTTAAAATTATTTTGAAATATACAGGGTGTCTCAGAACTAAGATCCATACCATAGTTATATTTTTTCTTATGGAACACCCGGTATTTTATTTCATTTTTGGATTCTTAGGCCAAAAAAAGGCATTTATTATAGGAGTTAAATATGTTTAAATTCTTTAGTTTTTGAGATATTTAAAGATCTTTAAATAGGCATGCTACAAAAGAATGGATTATTAACAACCTGTACATTACTTTTCAGAATTAATTCTTGTGCTGAGTTTAAAGGTAAAGAAATAAACTTTACCTAAAAAATATGCTTGCTTAAATTTATACAGGGGTATCAAAAATTGGTGATCTATTTTAAGGATTTATTTTACATAAAAACTTTGTTATTTCAAATGCAACGCCCTGTATTTTTTTAAATAAATCGAAGTAGATACAAATGCTCTTTCAAACTATATTAGGGTTTCCTATACCTATCTATCTCAGATTTTGAATAAAAAATGATTTTTAAATAACATGAAATAGGAAAGAGGACAAGTATTTTTCAAAGGAAAGCTTATCAGGAAGATTCCTATTTGAAATCGCTCTTGAGGCCGAGAAATAATTTTCCTCACAAAACAAAATCACTATAGTAACTAGTAACATATCCATTCGTTCCACCAGCAGATACATATGGCTTTATTTTTCTTCATAATATAAAGAATACTTACTTATTAAAATATTGTGGGTAAATTTTAGTAAACTGTTTAAATAATAATGTCCATACACTAATGTCGATTCTGAAAATAGTTACTGACAGTCACTAGAAAATTGCCATGGCGATACCAGTCATCTTGATTGCCATTTTATTTAAAAATCGCTTTTTATTTAAAATCTGGGATAGAGAGGTATAGGAAACCCTAATATAGTTTGAAAGAGCATTTGAATCTGCTTCAATTTATTTAAAAAAATACAGGGTGTTGCATTTGAAATAACAAAGTTTTTATGTAAAATAAATCCGTAAAATAGATCACTAATTTTTGGTACTCCTGTATAAATTTAAGGAAACAATAACATTTTTCAGTAAAGTTTATTTCTTTACCTTTAAACTCAGCACAAGAATTAATTCTCAAAAGTAATGCACAGGGTGTTGATAATCAATTCTCTTGTAGCATGCATATTTAAATATCTTTAAATATCTCAAAAACTAATGATTTTAAACATATTTAACCCCTATAATAAATGCCTTTTTTTGGGCTCAAAAATCCAAAAATGAAATAAAATACCGGGTGTTCCATAAGAAAAAATATAACTTTGGTATGGATCTTAGTTCTGAGACACCCTGTATATTTCAAAATAATTTTAAATTGTGCACATTGCCTCCCCACATATACCCATAAAATATTTTGTTTCTACATCTTTCCGTTTTCGTATAATCAACCGGGGTCGGAAGAAATTCCAGAAATAACCGAGGAAGGAATTATCAGTTCCCTTAGAGATATGAAAAACAATAGAGCTGCCGGCGACGATGGACTGGTAATAGAGTCAATCCAAGAAGGAGGACCAGAAATCATCAAAGCTTTAAATGTCCTATTTAATAAATGCATTGAAGAAGAAATAACCCCATCACAGTGGAACAACGCAACCATCATTATTGTACACAAGAAAGGTGACGTTACAGACCTTAAAAACTATAGGCCCATCAGCCTTCTTAGCCACGTATACAAATTATTTACTAAAATACTCACCAAGCGTTTGACAAATAAAATAGACTTTTTTCTTTCGAGCGAACAAGCAGGTTTCCGATCAGGTTACGGAACAAATGACCATCTTCTAACAGTCAAGGTCCTTATCGAGAAATGCATTGAGTATAATAGACCACTAATGCTTGTCTTCGTGGATTTCGAGAAGGCCTTCGATTCGGTAGACCAGCGGAAGCTTCTAGAGACACTAAGTGAGAGTCGCATCGATCATCGATACTCCTCAATCATAAGACATATATATGATAATGCCACGGCAAACGTCAGAATATCGACAAATCAATGCACAGATAAATTCAATATCGATCGAGGGGTAAGACAAGGCGACACACTGTCCCCTAAACTATTCGTTGCTGTGCTAGAAAGTATGCTAAAAATGATAAACTGGGATTCAACAGGAATTAACATCGATGGCAAATTGATAAATCATCTCTGTTTTGCAGATGACATTATTTTAATAACAGACAACATACAGGAGGCACAGAATATGCTGGATATGCTGAATGATGCTTCGGAAAAAGTCGGTTTGAAAATTAACTTGTCAAAGACACAATACATGACAAACCTAGTACTAAGTGGAAATTTAAACATTAATAACATACCTTTGGAACAAGTGCATATATATAAATACTTAGGGCATGAGATCGGTATTAGAAGGGATAATCAGACCCACGAAATTCTACGAAGAATAGGTTTGTCGTGGGCGGCATTTGGCAAACTAAGGCATATACTGAGATCTGATATTCCCATATGTTTAAGAAGAAAGATCTTTAACCAGTGTGTCTTGCCTGTCCTCACGTATGGAGCTGAAACGCTTACTTTGACAAAAAGAACATACATAGAATACAAGTCATGCAACGGAAAATGGAAAGGTCTATGTTGGGAGTTACACTCAGAGATAAAATACCCAATCATACAATACGAAATCGAACAGGAGTAAGAAATGCGGTGACATCTGTCTTACATCTTAAATGGAATTGGGCAGGACATGTGGCTAGGATGACAGATGGACGGTGGACAAAGACTTGTGGAATGGAGACCGAGACACGAGGCCTATAGAAGCAGAGGACGACCTCCTAGTCGATGGACAGATGACATTAAGAGGGTGGCTGGAAACTGGATTCAAGTGGCACAAAATAGAAGGAAATGGCTAGAGTTAAGGGAGGCTTTTGTTCAGCAGTGGACGTATAAGCTAAATGATGATGATGATGATAATCAACCGAGGCGAATGAGGTGCGCCACCCTGTATAAGTGATTTCAGCTAAATAAATCACCCGAGGTCTTTTACATATTATAGTAAGTGAATTTCCGCAGGGTTTGAAAGTGATCGAGACGATAGCCGGTCAAGCGCTTTGGCATGCTCATTCTTCAGAAGAAAAGACGCTGGTGAGGAATTTAGATATGCCCATCCCTTTACCGGACTTGAATAATGATGGGGTTATTGAATTATTGAGCATATATGAAAAGGTAAGAAAGAAAATACAAATCAGCCACTAAAACTAACAGTATTTGATTCGTTCCTTAGTTTTTTTTAAATCAATGTGTATACAGGGTGTTTCAAAAACATGTGCATCTCGTGGGGAGATTTCTCACGTTAAAATAAGATTTATTTTTTATATCAGCATAGGTCCGATTCTGCTTTGTTTCATAGCTACAGGGCGTTAAAATCTTAATTTTCTTTTTCGATTTATTATAATTTTTTTTCAAGTACTTTTAGTGAGTCAAATGAAGTACTAAAAGTCTATGGTAAAAATCAAAACGCGTTTCTATAGTAATGCAATTTTGATTTCATTCTTTGATAGATGGTTATTGATGGTTTTTTTTTTCATAGCAACTGTTGCAAAATTGCCGTATATCTATCAAAAATAGTAGATAAAATAGTACTTTAACCGCAAGGGCAGATTAAATGATACTTTAACAGCGAGGATAGGTTAAAAACTTTATTTCTTCTCGCACGTTTTTTAATTGCTTCCATTTTTGAAATTTTTTGTATTCCTTTTCATAAGTTATTTGGGATTTAAATGGAAGTAGTTTGGATATGGCGTTTGTCGCCTCAGCCTGAATATCTTTGGCAATTTACTTATTTCGTTTTGAGCCATTTCTGGCTGCAATTCAATCAGCAATCGACACGAAAGAGAATTAAAAAATATTGACTCAAAACTGACAACTAAAGAGACAGCTTTATTTATTTGTCAAATTACATAGAAACCAACGCCAACCCAGCACAATATTTTTTCTACTCGTAATAAATTCCTTGAAATAATAATTTCTGAATATTTTTTAAAACTTAACTCGCTATGGAAAAAAAATATTTTTTTATATAGTCTGTGAAACGAATAACTTTGAATTTGACAGTTCCCGCGGGCTTTTCTAGTGTTAATTTTATTAGGTTAGCAACTTGCGGCTATGCTGACGCAATGCCGTCTCTAATAAAACAGCCTCGGAGCGAAATTTATGACGTCACGCTAGTTAGATACTACGGATTAATAAATATGTTGTAGAATACATGGAAAACAAGGGAAAACATAATTATTCCTCGTATTTTTGGTTTGTATTTTAAAAATGATATAGTTTATATGAAATATATAGTCTGTCCAACGAGAAGATCCTTGACAGTGATAGATGTGTCTGTCATTTTAATTTCAAAGTAGTTTATTTTATTTTACAAAGAAATAAGTTGGTACAACTGGAACGCATAGCAGGAAATATTTAAAATTTGATTGACAAGATGACAAGTGATTACTTCAAAATATTGTGATAAAAACTGTATAAAACTGAAAAAATGTAATCGAGTTATTTTATTTAATAAAACCGGTATGTGTTAATACAAAACAAACAAGAACAAGAGACTACATACCAAAAAATATAAAAAGAACTATTTTTACTTTCAAGCTTTATGAAACTACCCGCATTTATGATTATATTTATCAATATAACTTATGTACAAATACAAATTTGTAATATTCCACAGGAATAAATAAAACAACATAGGTAAATAAAACAAACTATTTTATTAATAATAACACCTACCAAATTTTATACCTTAAAGGTTGATTAATTAACTTTAATCTTAATTTTTTAAACCAGTACCTTTTGACATTATTTTTCTGCAGTACTAAAATCCATTATTTACCTATCGTGTGATGTCGATATTTTACAGCTACTCCAGTTTTTAGTATGTGTTTAGTTTGATCCTTCTACCATATATGAGATGCACTTATCTACGACGAGATGGTATACAAACTTTAACGATGGCAACTTCATTGGTGTATAAGACTTTCTGCCTGGGTAGCGAGTATTAACCATAAACTGTGCTCTGGGTCTACAGTTAATTTTCACTCGTTTTTCCCTCCACTTGACTTCAAAAGACACAAAACACACGTAATAATACGAATCAAAATGCATCATCTTCCAAAACGCAGGGTATTTAACAAAAGTTGACACAAAATTATAACCTATAATTTGGCAAGACTTTGACAAGCGTCAAAAATGACAAAAATCTAAAGGCAGTTCATACGCATCGGCGTCCGTTTATCGTTCATCGTTCCGTCAAACCAATAAAATTGAAATACGATCTGTCATTTTTAAATAAACCAATAAAACTGGTTAAAAACAACAAGACACGACGCTGACGGATTTATATTTAAACCCATCCATAGATAACTTAAAAATTATTAGAAACTTTTTTTAGTAAAATAAATAGATTGGTATGGGACGTCATCTGCTTTTCTTCTGTCATCGTCTGTCGAAATCTTACCTGAGAAAAAAAACAGAGTATACATAATATACAGTTAATAAATACAATATATATACCTATTTATAGTAATAAATACTTTGGCAAATAAACTATGAACCATACAAATGCAACAAAGACACACAAAAATCACAACCTACGAAAAAAAAAATAATATTATTAGTAACTAATTAATAATAAATACATCACTAGTAGGTATTGAATGTTTTTTGTTAAATTAGATCGATTTTCACACCTCAAAATTTAAAATATATTTCACATTTTACCCATTATCTTATGTACCTATTCATTTATATATTGTAAAACACTTGCTGCATTTGTATGGTTCATAGTTTATTTGCCAAAGTATTTACTACTATAAATAGGTATATAATATGGTATTTATTAACTGTATATTATGTATATTTCATGTAAACTATATCATTTTTAAAATACAAACCAAAGATACGAGGAATAATTACGTTTTCCACGTATTCTACAACATATTGATTAATCCGTAGTATCTAACTAGCGTGACGTCATAAATCTCGCTCCGACGCTGTTAGAGACGGAATTGGTCTGATATTTAGTAAATGTCAAAAGCTGATGACATTTTACTTTTGACAATTATGACATTTCGTGTTGATTTTTGGAAGAAGAGGAAGAACTGTCACTTGTTTTATTATTTTCCTTTTCTATTTCACGAAAGTAAAAAGAGTTACCTATCTGATTCGTTCAGGTACTCAATTTAAAGAATATCAGTAACTTTTTTGGTCGGGAGATTTTATATTTGCCATGTTGATAAAAAATAACGGTCAAAATTCAAAGTTATTCATTTTATAGACTATACACGACGATAAAATTGCATTATCGTCTTGTAAAAAATATCTATTAATTAACGTCATGTTTTTTATTGTTGTTAAAGTCTCACATTTTCGACAACTATTGTCGCCCTTTCAGTAGCATTGAACTAAAAAAATTTTGTGCTTATTTAACATTTTAAAACAGCAAAAAATACGACGTTAATTAAAATTCTCAATAACAATCTATCAAAGAATGAAAGCGAAATTATATTACCATAGAAACGCGTTTTGATTTTTGGGATTTAGAAAAAATCAACCATATTTTCATGTTTTTTTTTAATTTTCTCTAAAACGGTAAGTAAATTTGGAAAGTGCATTAAAGGGATTAACAATTTTAGAACAAGCAAATTTTGGGTAATTATTGGGAAAACTGGAAATCGTCCGATTTTCACCAAAATTGGTATACATCCTATTTTGAGGTCGTAGATTACGAATCTGAACTTTTTTCTTGGCGGTCTCTTACCGTTTTTCAGAAAAACGGAAAATTATTTCAACATCGAATTTTTCTTAATTTCTCATATTTTTAAGGTTTTCTATCACATATTTTGTTAGGTATTCAATAAACAATGATGTTATTGCCATTTTCTGTTACTTTTTTAACCAATTCTATGCATAATAGAGGAAAATTTGCTAAAATAAATTTGTAAACAATCTGAAAATGTTGGGTTATGTGTTTCTGGCATTTAAAGCATCGTTGCCAATGCTAAACCTAAATTTAGCGTGTTTTTTTTCGCTCATTCTGGGATTACGAAAGGCGGTCGCCAGAAGAACGGCTCCTTCCCTTAATTGATCTGACTATACCACGAAGTTGCACGAAAGAGTTTCGATTGCATTGGTTACAACTTCCATGCGGAGAGTGTTAATCTTTTGTTGTTATATTATATCAAAAAAAGATTAACCCCCTCCGCAAAGAAGTTAAAACCAATGCAGTCAAAACTCTTTCGTGCAACTTCGTGGTTATAAATAGTCTTTATATAACTTTTTTGCGGAGGGGGTTAATCTTTTTTTGATATAATATAACAAAACAAAAGATTAACCCCCTCCGCATAGAAGTTGAAACCAATGCAATCAAAACTCTTCCGCGTAACTTTGTGGATATAGGTAGGTATGTTTAATTATTGTCGATCTCTTAATAGGTAATTTATTTAAAATCCCTAATCACCCGAAAAAATAGAAGATATGGCAACGTTGTAAATTTTCAAATTTCTAGATTAGGTCTAGAATATATTTGTCTCTCATTACATAGGAGAGAGAAAGAAGGATATATCAAATGTCAAACTTCCATCTGGTCTCAATTTTCTTTGTTATTTTGTTAAGAAAAGTGTTTTTCAGTAAAATTTTGGACATTTTTCTATCCCCAATCAAGTGTAGCTTTTAGATAAACTATAATATAATGAAAATATAGTGAAATTATTACTTTATAGGGCCGAAATAAAGAAAAATTCAATGTTGAAATAGTTTTCCGTTTTTCTGAAAAACGGTAAGAGACCGCCAAGAAAAAAGTTCAGGTTCGTAATCTACGACCTCAAAATAGTATGTATACCAATTTTGGTGAAAATCGGACGATTTCCAGTTTTCCCAATAATTACCAAATTTTGTCTATGAAGAATGCATTCTTCTCAAAACGTCAATAATAAAAAAAAATTCCTCTTGTATAGACAATCCCGGAACATACTGAGTAACTAGTTGATCATGTTTTTTAGACAAGTTTCCTTGTTATATCTGGCAACACTGGACGAGCCTTGGCCAAAATTCAAGTGCCGTCTTGCGGCCACATCAAGGAAATTCACTTTTCCGCCGAAGACAATCAGATTTGCGTCTATCACTGTATGAACACGTCCATTGAGACCTACCAAGTGTCATTGTCGGAGATCGAGAAGAGCTTCAGCAACCCCCAGTATATTATCAACGTGACGCCACTGACCGAAGAAATAACCGAGCACGACTACGTCGCCGGTAATAGGAGGCTGCGCGTCAATAACGGTCCTGATTGTCCTAAATGTCACTGTGTCATGACACTTTATGATGACAAAAATCAGGTAATTAGAAACAACACCACGACAGAGTTGGCAATAACCCGTCCATCTACTCGCATCGTCTACTGTCGCTTAACTTCGGTGATCTAATCGAGTGTTTCGACGTAGCTGGACCGTTGCTCCTGCCTCCGTAGCTGGACCGCTGGGCTCCCCTCCTACCTCTCTGTTATTTGAATTTTATCTAGTTCACTCTTTATTCAGTGGCGGCTCGTGGTTATTATTGTAGGGAGGTCAATATCTAAAAGTATTGCGTCCATTTTTTTTAAGACGCGACCAAATTTAATTTGTTTCTTACAAGATACAAAATACAAATACGTTTAGTTAAAGGAAAATAAATACAAATTATGTTAAAATGAAACCTACCCTTACACTGCCATTTTACTAAAAATCCAGTCAACGTTCTTTACACAAATTTTCCACAGTAGGATTTAAAAGACACTTAAATAATAATGTCACAAAAATATAAATACATATTATACCGGGTGCGTCTCAAAAGTGGCTCACCCCTATAACTCTTTTATTTTTTCAGATAAAAAAATGAGATTTGGTATGTTAGTTTATGACATAAAGTAGGATTGATTGGTGTATTCAATTGTCTTTGGTTACTTCCTGTTTTACCGGAAATGACTACAACTTTTGATTTTTAAATGGCACCCTCATTCTGAATCGAATCTCACTCACATTCTGAATAGAATGACATATCATATGTCAACTTTTGACATTCTCGCTTAATCAAAAATTGTATTTTAAAATTCAATCTAGAGTGCCATGACTATGTTAAAGACACTAATTCTTCATCAAGGAGTCTTGGAAAAATAGATCTTGGAAAAACATATTTGGGAAAAGCATTTTTTAACGAATAATTTGATACCACACACTTGGTATTTCGAGTCAAATTTTCGTTACGAACGGCATGTTATAATTTCAAATAAACCATATGCGAAAATGTCAAAAGTTGACATATGATATGTCATTCTATTCGGAGTGACATTTTCTATCGAATAAAGTAAAAAAATGCCGGGGGTGTCATTTAAAAATCAAAAGTTGTAGTCATTTCCGGTGAAACCGGAAGTGACCCAAAACAATTGAATACGCCAATCAATCCTAATTTAAATCTTGTTTTTTAACTAAAAAGATAAAAAAGTTATAAGGGTGAGCCACTTTTGAGACTCACCCGGTATACACATACACATTTCTAAAAGTTTTATTTCACATTTTTTATATTTTAAGTCAATTCTTTCTCTAAACGTTTTTCGAAATTTAAGCAATTGTTTTCTTGTAACCGCGCGATTTTACAAACTAAACACCATAATATGTTGTCTATTTGAAAATATCTATTCCAGAATCAGTCAACAAGAGTTCATCATTTATCCAGAACCAGAAAATTATGAATTATTACCTACACAAATTTCGCACTACATCTCAAACCCTACGACAAAGCTACGGCAACTAAAACCAATTTTTTTTCGATATTAAAAATTTAAATATTGATTTATATTGATTAAACCAAACATTATACGCGATACGCGATAAACAATACAAAATCCTAGGTTGTTTTATAATTTGAATTTTTATAAACACCCAAACTGCCCAAACGGCGAAATTTTTCCAGCGGTATGACTGAAATCCTGTGATAAATTTATACAGAAAAAATGCACTCGATATTTCTTAATCAACTATATTGATTCTCAACTAATAAACAATATTACAAATTACAATAACACGCTGGTTTCTAGACAAAGACAAAAACCGCCACTTTTTATATCATCTGTCAGTAAACTACCAAATACAATTGTATACAGGGTGGCCCATCGAAAACGTTCCGCAAGGCATAACGGCCAGGGTAATTTTTTTTTTCAGAAGATTCAAACACGTCAATTTTGTTTGTGAGGGGGACAACTTTTGTCCCAAAAATGATTGCAAAATCTTCAACCCTCTAAGCGGGGGTGTCATCCCCCAACTTTTTTCAAATGGAAAGGGGGGTCAAGTGGTACCGCAATGAAAAGGGCTTTCTATTCTCAATACTTTCCCGTTTCGTTTTTGAAAATCGGTCGAGTCATTGAGAAAATATGAAGAATTGAAATTTGAAAAGTTTATTTAAACATTTATCAAAGTAAATGGTAAGGATAAATTCCTTCGGCCAATTTGCTGTTTTTTCTTATTATTTCTAGATGTTTACGCATTTTTTCACTTGCCACAAGGTTGAACGATCAGGTGCGGCAGTTGCTAAATAGCTGTTCGACCCCAACGTTAAGCCGCCACTGCTCTTTACTTACGATCACAATCAAAAAAACTCGTCTGCGTTTCCAGGTCCTCAAAACATGGCCGTTCAACAACGCCTTCATCATGAAACCGAAACCGTTTAGCTTCAAGCCGTCTCAAGCGAAGAAGCTTCAACTCAAGGGCCACCTCAGCGGCTTCATCGTAAAAATATGGGAGTGGTCGGAACACTACAGGAAGCTCCGCCCCCTACAGAGGGTCAACAAAAGAAGCGTCCAATACCACAACGAGACGTTCTTCTCCACCGAGGTATCGGAAAGAGTCATACTCATAACTTCGAACGAGACCGACGTGCAAGTCATCAACGCGTCCTTTACCGAAATCAATCAGATATGTAGAACGGACGAGACGAACTGTCAGCCGGACGTCAACAATCAGGTTGACAGCTTGCTTATCGCTGACGTAGAGCACGATTCGAGCACGGAACTGGTCAATTTTTACAGCAGTTATGTCAGAAGAGACGAGGATTGGCATTTGGTCAGTTTCGTGAAGGTGTTGCGGTTGGAAGAGGAACTACCGAAGTTGTACAGCGCTAAGTAAGTTAAGGTTCTGCAATTTTCCGCTATTACTGGGTAAAACTTCTTCTTCTTTCGTGAGAACATGTTTTAAAAAACGCTGTGTTCAGTAATTCAATCAGATTCAGTCAGATTGCTCCAAATTTGAACTGGATTATGAGATTTTTCCGAATTTGTTAGGTTATGTTTCAGTTCATCAGTGTTGAGGTCATTCAGATTTAACACAATGGTTTAAAATGACTTTTTTGATGCTATTGTAATAGGATAATATCAGCTTAGTATAATTTTATCTTTCTGTACTCAATACTGTTAAAATCAACAAAATGGAACTTGAAAGAAATCGAGAAAAGAGAAACAATCTAGTCATTTTTTATATATGTATATAAGTCAAAAAAATAATAATCTGGGTATTGCAATTTAAATGTTGCATCCCACCGCTGCCACCAAATTTTGTGTAACAAAACTTTCAAGATTTGTCCGTTATCATGGTAGTATGGCCTTTATAAGTTAGTTTGCATATGTCGACTGATAACTTCCTAAACTGAAATGGTTCTATCATAGAATAACAATTCAAAAAGACAAAATTATACTAAGCTGATATTATCCTATTACACTATATTCATATCTGACGAGTATTACAAAGAAATTCCAGAAAATACTGTATGATGAGATGGGTGGTAAATTTTCCTTAGAAAAAATCAGTAGATCATTGGATACATTTGATTTTTTATGAAGACTGACATAGGTTTTCAACGTCCAACTTGCGGAAATTAATCAGGTCTGTAGCTTCTGCGGGACAGGTGAGATTAACTGTCAGCCTAACCTCAACAATCAAGATGACAGTTGATATGTTAAGTCACTTCTCTCTTTTCTCTCTCTACTGCTGCTGGGGACCAAATTTACCCAAGCATGGTGCTCTCTGGTAGGGATGTCAATGTACAAATAGATCGTTGAGACATGGGTATCAAAAGAAAGGTTTGTTTAGGGAAAGGAGGTACAATTTCGACAGACGTCATCCCAAAATGACAGAACAATGTCTACTTTTGAATTGCAAATGACAGACGACTGTTACTGTCGTATATATTTGTAATAATTCGGAAGTTTTTATAATCGACATCCCTACCTATACTATCTTGTGCTTATCTTTTATTGCATATAATGAATTATATTATGCTGTAATAATGATGCTCTCTATTTTAAGTGAATTGACTTGTGGTCCTTTTGACACTTTTATCTAAAATTAAGTTATAATTTTATTATACAGGGTGGTTGATTTTTAGTTAATTAATTACGAAATATATTTATTTATTTATTTAGTCTAATTTTAACTTTGATTATTTATTTGTAAATATTTTTATATGAAACATAATATAAAATGAAATTTTTTTATCGCCGAAAAAAATTACTTTTTTCCTGCATTATCAACTAAATTAACGCTCTGTATGTCGGGAAAGTAATACCATACGATCGAAAAAAAAACGGCGTCAAAGACGGCTGGGGAATGAAAATCTATGATAATTTTGGCGAGGTCAAGCCCTAGACGTCTTTTACTTGGCCCGTACTCTTTTTCAGTTGGTTGTAATTTATTTTTATATTGAGTAAAAATGATTTTTAAATGGTGTAATTTATAATTCGAGAAAAAATAATTTCTAGAAAATAGATTTGCGTGTCTTGTTGGAAACTTTCTATTCCTTTTTAATCCCTCTATAATTAGTGTTTATATCTAGAGATTGACCTCGCCAAAATTATCATCGATTGACATTTTCCAGCTGTCTTTGACGCCATTTTTTTTCGATCATGCGATATTTCCATACATACGTTTACAGAAACTGTTATTTAATCAAATAGTCTGTTATTTTTCGCGATATTAAAGAATCACCCTGTATTAATTCCATTTTTCTCATAATTTTAGAAATTGCTGCTGAAAAAAATTAAGTTCAGAGAGATAAGTAAACAAAGAGGCGTTGGTACCTTATTCGTGTAAAGTGTAAAATTCTTAAAAACTATACAGATTCGAGTAATTTGCAACAACGCAATACGGAAATTTGACGCTTGTATAGCTCGATCCTTTAAAATTCCTCTAGGTTTGCTTATTTCTCTGGCGATTTAAGTAATGTAAAAATAGATTAGGCCAATAATTATTGTGAATCTCCCCTTATTTTACCGTGTGCGTAGACCAAAGATTATTTTGTTAATTGTTTAATGGGACTAATAAAAAAAATTAAACACATTGAGGTTAAAATTTTATTTAACAAAAAAGGGAGTAAAGCTAAAACAAAAAAAAACAATAATTATTTTCCCAGAACGGTTACGGTCCTACTGAAATCGGAACACAATATAAAACTTAGGAATGACGAAAGAAGAAGGTAGTTGTGTTTTACCTAAACGATTGTTCTAGAAGTGAACTATCAAGCACTATTCACAATGACGTAGCAGACTTTCAATGTCTTTATGTACATTAATCTACAGTTTTTTTTTATTTTAAAAATATAAGGTTTGTTGGTATTTTCTTTCAATACTTATAGAATTAACAACGATTTTGAACGAAAATATGTTGAGAAATTAATTTTCAAAATTTAAAACCTTTTTCTAAAATACATATTTTTGGCTAAAATACTATTCCCAGAAAAAAATCTTATGTCCTAAACATCTTAACTTTTGAGATACAGTGTGGTAAAATTTTCCAAAAAAAAAATAGTATATTATTCAACGAGCATATCGTCCTATTGCTGCCAAAAGTCACTAACTAACATTTTTCCGAACAACCAAATTCAATCACTAACTTGTTTTGAAGCGGAGAATCGATTGCAAAAGTCATTAACTACGATTTCTGGCTATTTATGTTTTATTTTAATACCGAATAGTTACTAACTATAACATCTTTATGCAATGCAATTCATCTTTAGACGCATTTTTCTCGGAAGTAATAAAACGTAAGTTAGTGACTTTTGGCAGCAATGGGACGATATAATGGTGGCTGTTATTCACGCGGATGAAGTTTATGGTCATCCAAGTGAATAACAGCCATTATATACGAGTAGAATACTATACTGTATCCAGGACTATCAAAAAAATTTAGATAATATTAATATAAGTTTTTATTTTTAAAAAACAACTTTTGAAACCCCCCATAAATGAATGCAAAAAATAACATTGAAAACTTCAAACTTTTAAATCGAATTTTAGAGTAGAAAATGAGGAAATTTTAACATTGTTTCTTCGTAATTGTGTTTAATAATTTGTTTACATGTCCAGATATAACATGAGAGACTTACTAAAAAGGAAAAAATATATTTTTAAAATCTTATGACAAGAAAAACAACTTTTGGAACACCCCATAGATGAATGCAAAAAGTGACATTAAAAACTTTTAACATTGTTTCTTCATAAGGGCTTTAAATAATTTGTTTACATGGCGAGATATAATATAAGAGAATGTTTAAAGAGCAAAAAATATTCAAATCACGTGACAAGAAAAACAAATTTTGAAACACCCCATAGATGAATGCAAAAAGTGACATTGAAAACTTCAAATAGCTCTTGTTTGGAGTTTGGATCGAGATATCCGTGGAAGCGGTGAATAATGAAACCATTATTCACTAGTGAATAATGAATATTATATTATTATTTCATAAACTCATGTATAATAATCAAATTATAGACGAGTCGTGGATAAAATTTATGTGGTAAACGAGATGGAAATTGTTTAGAAATGAAATAATGTTTATTTTAAGACAAGTCATTTTCAGTACCATTTTTTTCTCGAAAGATATTTAATATAAAACCCGATTGGACGCCACTGGTTGAAACAAATAAAACTGTACATCCAAAAGGGCATTTTGATGCATGGAAGACGCGTATCAAGATTTATAAAGATATTTGTAATAACATCAGTTATTATAATAGTTTTTTTAGAAAATCTTGCCACTGTGTTTCTCAAAAATTAAAATGTTTAGGACATACATTCATAAGATTTTTTTTTATTAGAATAGGTTCAAGAATTATCCCCTTAAACATTAGCATGTCATTCGGGAACACTCTGTACATTCCTAGATTAAATGTACATTAATAAGCAAAATAAAACATTAATTCACCACAATACACTAAAACGCTTTACTTTTAAACACTGGACGCGCGTTTCGCTAACCATGTTAGCATCATCAGCAGATGATTAAAACTAAACTAATATCTACAAATTGAGCGTTTATACAGGCGCTCGGTTGGTAGTGAGCAAATGCCACAAAATTAGCCAAAACCAATGGCGCGTAACGATTAATTACTTGTTATATTCAATAATTGGATTTGACTAATTTTGTCACGCTTGATCAGTACCAACTGAGCGCCTATATAAATGCTCAGTTTGTAGATTTTAGCTTAGATTTAATCATATATATATATATATTACACTATATCGCTAGGCAGGAATAGAAATTGAAGCCAAATTTTTGAGATGGAGCTATATAAAATCCACATAAGTCGGTCCTTTTCGTTCAACAGCTTTGAACTACGCAAGCGTGAGAAGTGCTTTTTAGAATGAAATGCTTAATAGAAGTAGTTTTCTAATTTTCTATCTACCACGTAAATCAATTTAGCGTCTGACTATTCGCGCCTTTACTTATAAATTTAAATTTAATCTCTGAAATATTTAAACGAAAACAATAAACAGATAGATATGATGAATATCTAAAATAAAAGGTTGAAATAATGCCATTACCAATAAAAAAATAATATATTATACGATATTAATATTTAGAGTTTACAATAGTGCGCGGGCAGGTGACAGCGTTCAGCGATGAAGTAGACGAATCAGATCGTTTTATTTGCCACGTGCGCACGAAAATCCTGTTGAACCAAAAGGGGACTTATGCAAGATTGATATCCCTATTTCCTCTCTTTGGCTTTACTTTCCACTCATTGTGTAAATGCAGTACTAGCAATATATTTGGTTTTAATCATCTGCTGGCGATGCTAAAGATAGCGAAACGCGCGTTCATTGTTTAGAAGTAAAGTGTTTTGGTGTATTGTGGTGAATTAGTGTTTTATTTTGCTGTTGTAATACCAAAGGTTCCAATGTAATGTACATTAAGAAAATGAAAGACCTTTACTTACACGCTTACTAGTGCCGATTTAATAAATTTTAAAGGGAACAAATTGAACATTATTGACTAGGCAGGTGCTTGCTGATGAAAGCTTTGATGTCGCGCAACTCTTCGTCGTTTGAGTTGTGCATCAGGCCCCGGTAGGACTTGAAATCGGAGTTGGTCGTGAGCGCTTTCAACGCGGACGCTGTCATTTGGCCCCATTTGTATGGCACCACCGGGTCACAATCGCCATGACATTGCAGTATCTTCAAATAAAGAAATTTTATTAGCCCAAACTATTAATCTAAAACTAAAAGTACTGTACCGGAACACCATCTGGGCATTTTTTACCTTCCGGGAAGTGTTTTCGCAGTGGTAACCACCCGGAAAGAGCTACGACACCGGCCAGTCTGTGTGTGAAAGTCATTGCCGAGTAAAGTGCCAGCGCGGCACCTTGTGAAAAGCCTCCCAACATAATCCTGTCCGATGGAATGCCACCGCTAATCTCCTTATTAATCAGGTTGTGTACAAATACAGTTGCATTTCTAATTCCTTGAAAAAAATCAATTATAAATGTGACAACACATGTACAAGCTGACAAAGCTCAAATAAATTACCTTCCTCATCCTCTGGGCCGGATTCATCGAGCGTTTTTAGATCGAACCAGGAGGGCATCCTAAAACCGGCATTCAGCGTCACCGGTATAGTATGTGCTGTTGGACAAATGACTTTAACGAAAGGTTCCCTGACAGAATTCATGGCTTGAGCCCATCCTTGTCTAAAATATTTAATTGTTATGAAGCATAAGGCCCTAAATACAATTAAAATATGGTAAAAATATGTCAATCTTACCCAGTATCGCCCAATCCGTGTAGGAAAATTAGCTGAAAATATCATGTTTTAGTAATGATTATAAAAGGAATTGTAAAATTACCGTAGCGGAATGTTTTGCAGTAGCTGCCAAAACGACCGGTGGAGTCATTTTCTAGTAATTCTTTTTTCTTTAATCTAATTTATCTACTTTTTCGCCAAACTCTCTAACCACTCAATAAGGACATTTGACAGCTATGACCTTCGGGAATGACGTTTTTCAGCCAGGCGATTAGGAATGTATCGAGTAAAATTAAAATATCGATAATTCCTAACGTAATTTTAATTTTTTAATGTTCATCAGTCAATTTCATCATTTTTCATCAAATATAATTTTTTGATCTTCGGTTTTTGTGCATTGTATCTTTAGAACTACTGTTATTTATTTTCTTTTAGTGAGAATGCCGCTATTTATTTTTATTCAATTTACATAGTCACAGTTTAAGAAATAAAATCATATATTTATTATAACGTTAAACAAGGGTATTATAATAAGTATAAGAAGAAATGGAGGTTATAATATATTTCATTGTTTTGAGTTTTATTTTACTCATACTGCTTTATTTATTATTTAGATTTGACTTACTAACGATGAATCTATGACAAAAAGCGTTAAACAACTTCTGCAATTGGTAAGTTTGGTATTTTATGTATACAGTGAAGAAAAAGCAAGAAAGGCGTACATTTACTTATTAAAAACGGGTCCCGTCTATTCAAATTTTTCTTTTGGCGCGTTTAATTGATTACAGCGCCATTCTTATTTAGCGAGAATATTTGGAACTATCTTCTAAACGATTATGGCGCCACCGTAAGGAAAGTTTGAAAAGTAAGCAAATACAGGTTTCTGCTTTTACTATGTATGGGTGGCGCCATCATGGGTTAAGTATTTAAACTAGTCATTTATAGATTTCTATAAAAAAAAATACATCTAGTGCTATCTAACGTTAAGTAGTTGAACTTCGGTTAAAATTTTCTTGGAATTTTAACGAAATCTGTAATTTTTAGTTCCCAAAAAGTGTCGAGTGAGGGCCATCTATGAATACAATATTATACTAATTTTGATTCTAACCGTAGAAAATATTTTTTTTTGTATCTTTTATACACTTTTATATAAAATTATGAATAAAAGTGTTTATTTTCAGTTTGATAACAAATCTGCGTGTTAAATTAAAATGTACGATCTATATAATATACTTTTAGCTAGTTTTTAATATTATTTATCTATGAATCGTATTTTTAAGTGTAATTTTGTGAAGGCAATTGAGTATATGTGACATTTTTTATTACAGATACAGATATGTAATAATACAGCGATAAGAGCTTCTTATGAAGGTAAGAAAGGATAATACACCAAGAAAAATGGAAATAAAAGATTTCTTTTGGGAAGATGTGTCCTTGCGTAGAATTTTATAAGAAAACCTCACCGATTGTACATTGCATTTCAAATGAAAGTATGTGATAAAAAAGAGTAAAGTTGGAGCAGCAAGATTGTCGCCTTCAAATCATTCCTACAAATACCTCCTTAGAAAATTATACTCTCGAACATTCAAATCCATGGACTCTATGCTGTCCCTCCCGAACCTGCTTTCTTCTTTGATATAAAGATAATTTAAATCTTAATGGTTGTTCTACACTGTTAGGGAAATGTATTCTTGTTATAAAGAGATGCAGTGTATAAGGTAAACTTTTTTTTTGCATTGTTTCACTGTGTTTTCTAATTTGTTACAATTTTCTGTAAAGTGAATATCGAAAAGTCTCATATTTCAAAAACACTCAGTATAGTTTGTGGTATTTATGGAATAGACACTTCATGGCAAATCCACTTAAATACACATTACCACTATACCTACTACATAAATCCACTTAAATACACACAGAAAAAAAATACAGATTTCCATTTAAACATCATGACTTTAACTTAAAAATATATATAAATCACCCTGTATATCTTTGAAAATTATATGATAATAGCAAAGAATATTTTAATAATTATAATATTCTTTGATAATAGTTAAAAATGTACGCTACCATTTTCGATATTGTAAAAAATATCTGACTGAAAATATCAAACAAGGGCTTGATATGGAGCGCTCTTCCCAACACTGGATCACCCTGTATAATTACTTTTTATTTTTTTCAGAAATATGTGCAAGTTGCTGGAAATATGAACATCCGGTGTTAATCAGTAATAATACAAATTCTATAATTCATTTTATAATTTCAGATTTATCTTGATCAAAAATTAAGGTAAGAAGGATAATGGAGATTGTGAAGGTAAGGTATTATGATTGTAATCGGAATTGTAAGTAATATAATATTGTAATAATAATATACTATATTTATTTATATATTTTTACATTTGAATTAAAAATTATCATTTACAGATTTTTTCTTATTGGTTTTAAACCTATTAGAATCATTTAGTATCATCAATATGACACCTTATTTATTACATCCAAGTTGTTTAATTTCTAGTTATTTACAGCTAACAATAGTAACAATATAGCTAGTGGTTTTATTAACATTTTTGACGTTGCTGCTAACAAATTATGGCACACTCTAGAGAGTCACGCTATGCCATATGCCAATAAGGTCTCTGTGTTTTTCTCCAGACAATCAGCTATTATTAACAGCCTCTGACGATGGGCATATGAAATTATATGATGTGTAAGTTAAAAATTAGTTAAAGTAGCCTTTGTAACTCGTTTTTATCTAATTTTTTTGACAGAAAACAGACCCATGTAATTGGAACAATATCTGGTCATGCCTCTTGGGTTTTAAATGTGGCATTTTCACCAGATGGAAAGTACTTTGTGTCTGCCAGTTCAGATAAGACGGTTAGAGTATAGGAGGTTTAAAGCCGACAGTGTATTCACACCTTTTTTTTTAAATATAATATTTTATTAAAAAAACCTAAATTTTTAGGGATATAACCATTTTTAAATAAGATTTGTTTTTTAATAATGATATTTTATCTAAAAAAAACATTGCACGTTTGGGGTATAAAATTCAGTTCCGGATAACTCGAAAATTTTATCAGTTTCAGAAGACAAAAGTATTGTAATATATAGTTGTCCTAAGTAATAAATGCTTTTTATCCTAATTTGTACTTATTAATATATTTTTTCTTGTTAATAAAGGATTTTTCAGCTTAATTAAATTTCAAATTTGAAAATTGTGACGCCAAAAGTTGAACAGATACATCCGGTAAGAGCTGTCAACGTTGAGTCAAGTTAAAGACTTGTGAAGTTATTTTTTATATAATTTATCTCATATTTCTTACTATTTAACTATATAGAATTAGTTTCATATTAAACTAAGGGATATTTATTGAATAAAAACACTTGTTCCTTAATGATTTATTAAAATATTAAAGAAATGCATGATTTTATAGTTCATCTAATTATGGGCGTACTCAAAGAAAAATTATAATATTCTTTGGCGGCGTACCAGATAATTTCAATATAAAATAAGTTCTGTATGATATTTTATACTGGAGGGAATAAATACAAATAAACACAAATCATTTAGTTAATTCAAGAAGCATATTCTACTGAAATTTTAATAAAAACCTTATAAAAACCATCCATGTTTATTAAAAAAAGTTAAAATCGAGGCATCCAAGAGCAAAAAATCCACGATCGTGATTGGTCAGTTTCGGTGGCGTGGAGGTTTTGAATTTTATTCTCGTTCGATGTTGCCGGATGGTTAAAAAATGTCAAAAATCTTTTTTTCTATGTGATTTTTGTGAAATTATATTAGTTTAAATTGATCACTAGCACTATAGTAAGGGCCATTTCTATATATTTTTAATAAAACAAGTACCAGTAATGTTGCTTTGTAGAAATTTCTTTTATTCTTATTAATTACGTACTAACATTATAGTCTTTATTCTTGGTTTCGATGTATTTATAGCATTAAAAATGTATTTAAACAGCTTCATTTTATGTTTATTTTATGATTTTTGTTTGTTTATGTTTATAATTACTTATTTATTTCTTATTTATGACAATAAAAATATTTTACCTTACGTAAAAAAACGATTTCAGTGGAACGTATTGAGTAAATAATAACTTTTGAGAACGAAATTAAACTTAATTTACAAGAATTTTCCTATAAACAATTTTATTAGTAATAAATATATTAAGTTTATGAGCAGCTTAAATTTTACGAATTACTTCAATCTGGCAACGCCGGTCCTGTTCTGGTCGTTTGCAATTGAAGGATTCGGACGTCCTCCCGTCGGTTGCATCGATTTTTTAAATTTTCTGACGAAATAGTGCATTTAGTGTACACAATTTATGCGTAATCTATTACTGGTGCCCTGCTTAGCCTCCTGAAAAAGTGAGTACCCGTAATTTTATGTATTTTTTGAGATATTTTAGTTCAAAATTTTTGGATTTCGCAATATCCATCATGGCAGCCTTCTTCTCAATGTTCCCCATTAAGTTATTAATTTTTAAGAATATTGTTTAAATAATATACGTAGATTAATAAATAAGTATGTAAAACTATGTATTTTCGGTACTTTCTATACTGCGTGTTACATAAGGGTAAAATAATAGTACTACATTATTGGTAAATTACGTAATGTATCTTTGACTTTTTTTTTAATTTTTTCGGTCAAGGAATGTTTAAATAAATGGCCGCCTGTTGGAATTCGATGTCTTGATTTTTTGTAAATTGCTATTTTTAATTTAAATTTCTTTTTATAGGGCATACTTACAGTTTTCTTTATTTTTAAAAAATATAATATGCGCATTTTAATAATATTTTGAATGAGTAGATTTTTTGTATTTAAGTTAATAATAGGTAGGTAGGTTCATTAGGAATTTCTTTGTTTTATTACGTATTTTTTTATTTAATCCTACATATTTATGTTTCAGCATTTTTGTAATGATTTCTGATATTGGTATTTTAAAATATATTTCTCTTTTAAAGCGCGTTATGTAATATTACATGTTAAAAAATAGTATTAATGTTGATAAATGATTTTTGCTAATTATCAGTATTAGTTGTAAATTTGCATTGAAAAAATAAATCAATTGTCACTGAATTTTTATAAAAATTAAAATATTTTGAAAAAAGTAAGTATGATTATTTTGAGGTAAATTTTGATCGAATGTTTTTTGTCTTCATAGTAGAAACTAAAAATGTAATAAAACATATACCTAGGATGTCTCGTTGTTAAAAAAAATATAACTTTATAATTTTTTATTTATTTTAAACACTGTAGGTTTAACTTTTAGCTCTAAATAATATGTTACAACTCTAAAAACTCCTTGTGTATTTTTATTTTTTTATGTGTTACATCATGGAAAAATTTTTTGGATTTTGACCGTATTCATCAAATTTATATCCCTTTTTTCCCTAGATTATATAACATCTTTATATTTTTGACATTTTTGGTATAATAATCAAGAAAAAAATCTTATAAAATATTGCTGAGGTATAAATGGAGCATCTCTTTTTTCATTTAAAATAAATATACCTATTTATATATTGTCGTAATATTTTTATAGGTGTTCGATAATATTTTTATAGGTATCCCAATATTTTTTCTTTTTTTAGGCGCGTTATATTAATACTACAACACTACACACTCCTATCCTACTCACACGAGCATTGCTAGCTCTCTGTGTTGGTTAATAAAATTTCCTAATTCAACATTAGTGAATTTCGTTAGCTGATGCAGTTGGTTAACAGTGTTTTTGTCGGTGTGGATTCCCGGGCTTAAGATGACTCCAGAGCGCGGCGCGGCAGCTGCAAGAGGAGACTTCTTGGGTCACCCTGATGTTCGGGCATCGATGACCTGTGTAGCATGCGAGTACCCAAAGGAGTCACCACCCTCTGGTTTACGAGCTGGGTGTTCTAATGCTAGAGGCTTCGGCCGGATACGACCTGGCACCCAAGCTCCGAGATTTCTTCGTGCGTATTCCGTGACCCTCGAAGCAGGGGGCGGGATATCGGACACATTGAAGATGATGAGGGGGTCCGCCTGTAGGGGTCAGTGGATGCCTGTTCGACGGGTGACGAGGTGACCCCAGACAGGGCAGCTTAATTGGGATGGGAACTGACTGGTGAGGCTTAATCGTCGACCAATGGGTCGAATCTGCATAAGGAAGGCAACCAGCACACACTCACAGGCGGGTCGTGGAAACATTTTTTGTTTTTTCTCTTGGTCTGCCCCGCGTCGAATTTTGAAGGCAGAAAATGTCGGGAGGAGGCGAGCATAACCAGGCCTTACTTAAACCTGTTAAAAGTAAGTCTAATTTTTTTATATTAGATTAAATTGTAAACTTTTACTGTACTCCCTACCAAATAACTTTTTTATCGCACCATGTAGCAATCAAAATACTTTTTATATAAGTGTTGTATATTTTAGTTTTTTTGTTACAACATACATGAGCTTCAATTTAAAGTAGAATAACTTGTATAATAATTAGATCAACTTTTTTAAAACTTATAGTAGATATAAGTTTAAATTCTAATTTAACTTGTATAGTTACTTATATAACTAATTTATTTTCATTTTTTTAGGACAATCCGGGTTCGCAGCGCGATTTTAAAAAACAAGATTGAAGAAGTCAGAAATTCTATCTACATGCTGCATATGATCAGTCCCAAAAAAATTCGGATTGTTCCAGGCACCGTCGCATACCTGGAAAACGTGTTTATTGTCAACTCTACAGGATCGACCGAAGTCCATGGAGTTGGGGATATTTGATGTGCCCCATAGCAGTGAGACGCCACTGTTTTTTTCGCCGTATAATTATTAATTATTATGATGGGACTGAAAATGAACTTAAGCAAGATGTAATGGTGAGTTTTTATATTTTTACATTGGTTTTTTTTGTTGTCTATAGCTTGTTTTTTTGTTTCTTCTAGCATATGTATTTGCTAGAAATATTCTAATATTATTTTTTTTCTCTTACAGGTGATACAGTATGGCTTGGAGAACTTCAAAAGTCGGTTCGCGTCGTGGTTCCAAAGCAGTAACTTTAGGTTCCCTACATTTACAGAATGTTGCATTAAGTACTCATTTTTAATTTGCAATTTTTACATTCATTTTTACTTTTTTTCTTACTCTATACAAGGCTTTAATATAAAGTTTTTTTAGCAATAATAAATGGGTAATAAAAAATAACTCCAAAGAGACAAAATTAGGTAGCATATTGTTTTTCTATTACAGTTGGAAATAACTATTTTTCGTCTTGTTTTAATATTGATATTATTTAATTTTTTTTAGTGATTTTTAATTAAACGTAAATTAGTAAATAATGTAATTTTACATTATAATGAGAATTAAAGTATTAGTAATTTATTTTTGTTACTAAAATTAAATTCTGTTTGTTCCTGCATAAATCTTTTTAGTACTATACTGCTTTGGAATGAATTTTTTTGGGGGACAACAGCAGGATTAGCGCCATCTTCTAGATGCCATCAGGTAAATTTATATAACTTTATATTTATCACTTTCTTTGGCTAAAAAAAGTGTTTTGCTTTGTTTTAGGTAGGTGCGCTGGCGTAGGTGTTTGTTGTAGCATTATTATCCTATTCCCCCCTTTTAAAAATGTTTGTAAGACGCCTGAAATTTGTATAACTTAGTTATATAAGTAGTTGAATAAGAATTGGTGAGACTTGGAAAATAGAAGAGGACAGAGAAGATGGAAGAGGATTGCTTTGAAATAGAAGGAAAGGAGATAGAAGATGTTTGAGGAAAGGAGGAGGACTTTGTTCGCTGTAACGGAAGTTTTTTAAATGAAATTTGGAGCAACTGTATTAAGGTAATTTTTTTCATCTAGTTACAAAAAGTAAATACTTATCACAACTTTTATTTTTTTATAGATGATATTGGTATCTTGGACATCAAGTTTCTTTTATTTATGTATTATACAAGAATATCTATTGGTGAAAATGTAGAATGGCAGCTGTTATAACAACTTGGATGAATTATTAGAAACACCAAAGAAGTTTTGACATAATTTAAACTGGGAAAAGGCTCACAACTGACCAATTTATTCTACAGTTGATACAGGACATTAAATTGACTTCAACAACGCAGATGTCTTTCAAAAATGGTAAGGTTTATTATATTATTTTCTTTCTTATTAAAGTTTTTTGGCATGCTTGGAAGTTATGACATATTTTACACATAATATGTATATTCAATAACTTTAGGTGGCAATATTTATTTTTAAATTTATTAAGAGTATTTTTTATTCAAAACAACCTAATTTTATATGCTTGCCTATCTATATTGATATTACAATGTTTTTTTATTTACTTTAATTTTATACATTGATACAAATTAATATAATTATTATTAATATTTGCTTATCTTTTTATTTATTTTTTTTAATAGTTGCTGTTACAAATCTGCAAATGAGTTACTACTGTACATAAGTTGGAGGAATGCCAAGGATTTTTTTGAATAAAATGATACTGAAAATCTTACCCACAAATGACAATTTTAAGATACAATCAATAGTATTTGGATTGATTGGCCTTCATTACCGTTGCGCTATGAAAATGGTAAGTTATTTTTATTTTTTTATTATTTTTAACGCTACAATTTATGTGTCTAACTACAAAATTGTAGGCTTTAAATTCAAAATAAAATAAGTTTGAGATTGAAAATATATTAATATATTTTTTTCAATCTCTGTAGTTATTTACAAATTTGTATCACACAATAATTTTTTTCTTAATTTTATATAACTATAACTTATTCAAATTAATATAAAAAATGTCTGTTATTTGTTTGTTATGTTACATAGTTCTAAATATTAACATAATTTATGTTATTGTCTGTTTTCTGATAGCTTCAAAAATTGCTATAATAAAAAATTACCTAATTAAAATTAATTATTATTATTAATTATAATAAAAAATATTATTAATTATAATAAAATTATTAATTATAATTATTATTATTAATTATAATGATTTTTATTAATTATAATAATTGTTATTATAATAATTAATATAATTTTTTACATAGGATATTGCTATTTTACATAGGATATTGCTATTAGAAATCAATAAGACATACTAGCTGCAAATAATATGTATGGTGGTCATTAAAGAGATTTAAATGGAATGAGAGGAGAGAAACTTTTGCAGAAGAAATCAAGAAAAACTATTTTGAACTGCTGTTACTTAATATAGCTGTTAGAGGGGATCCAGTTCTTCATCAATGGTAAGTTATTTATCTATCTTATAAAATTTCATTGGACCGCTTGAAATTTTTTCAAATATATATACAAGCGCTTTTGTTCCAATATTAGAAAAGCCAACAACTATTAAAAGAAGGCAGGACAAAATAAAATGCTGATACTGTATTACTGGTTGCATATTGTTACGGATTCTGTGGGTCCACTAATTTAAGGATAAAATACTTAACGGATTTATTTTCGAACTATATCAATATATACACACAATTTATACTGATTACAACACACAATTAACTATTTAAAAAAATCCTTCGCCAAGTTGTCAACATTCACTATTCAAAACTGTTTGGTTTTGAATTACAGAACTCGTCACACACGCCTTGACGATATATTAATGTTCCCACTAGAATAAACGCAATAAATATATACATATTTTAATAAATATAATTTTAATGAATTTTTTTAGTTTTGTTTTTATTAATCTTGTTTTCAGAAATCTTCAAAAATTAGTATAGTAAAAATTTATTTAATATTTTTTTGGAATTTTAGGTATACCCTGGGACAATTGCTGTTAAAAATCCACAAGCCGTATTATCTGCAAATATTATGGTGGACATCAAAAAGCTTTAATTGGAATGAAACTTGCAGGAAAAGTGGTCGCAGTCCTTTATCAATGGTAAGTTATTTATCTCTTTTTTCTTACTAAATTTCATTGACAAGCTTGAAAATTATGATAAGTTTTTATAATATTCAAGCTGCACAGGTCTCTGAGGTCAACGTCTGTCATATGTCATTTACTAACGTGTACCAGCGACTTCGTTCGCGTCGAATTAATCATTTGTAATGGTGATGATAAAGCAAAGCAAGAATTTCTATTAACATACAAACTGGATAAAATTTTCTCACATTTATGTCAGCATGAGAAAAAACAATATGGCGATATTATTATATAACTTGGTAATATTTGAGGGGATCAGGGGATCATCTCGTTGGAATTTGACTTTCGAAAAATGCGTTTGCCAAAAATAAGCTTTTTACGTCAAGCAGTTTAAGCAGAATCGTGGTTAAGAAATTACCCAACTTTTTGGAATACCCCGTATGATTTTTTAAAAAATTTCAAAATATGTAAAAAAACCAAATAAATTATGCTTGTCCAAGCGTTTTCCCGAAAGACTAACCGTTTTTTAAATAACAAATATTGTAATATTTGAGGGGCGTTTTCACCCTCTTAGAATTTGAGATTCGAGAAACCCCTCCTTAACGAACCTCTACACCCCACAGTCGATCCGTTTGCCAAAAATCAGCTTTAAACGTCAAGCAGTTTAAGCAGAATCGTGATTACTCAATGGTCATATTTTATGAAACACCCTGTATAAATTTATAAAAAATATTAAAATATGTAAAACAACAAAATAAAATATACATGTTTAAGAGTTGTTCCGAAAAACTCACCGGTTTTTAAATAAAAAATATTTCAATATTTGAGGGATAGTTTCACCCCCTTAGAATTCGAGTTTCGAAAAATCTCTTCTTATCGAACCTCTACACCCTAAAGTCAATCTGTTTTCCAAAAATCAGCTTTTTTACGTCAAGCGCTTTACGCAGGATAGTGATTAATCAATGACCAGATTTTTCGAAACACCCTGTATACATTCAAATATGTAAAAAAACAAAATAAAATATACGCGTTTAAGCGTTTTTTCGGAAACTTGGCCGTTTTTTATATAAAAAATATTGTAATATTTGAGGGGTGGTTTCACCCTCTTGGAACTGGAATTTCGAAAAATCCCTTCTTATCGAACCTCTACACCCTAGAATCAACCTGTATGCCAAAATTGAGCTTCTTACGTTGAGTGGTTTGAGCAGGATCGTGATTAATCAGTATGTCAGTCACTTAAGGATTTTATATATTTATATAGATTAAAAATTGATATAAAAATTTGTCAAAAATAATATTTAAATGAAAAAAAGGAATAAGGTTTCAAACATACCAATTATTATCCAAAGGTGAAAACCTTAATTTAAAAAAATATGAGCTTTGAATTTTTTTAACATTTCATTCTTTAATTTTTAGAAATTTTTATACCAATTTTTATAAATGATATGTTGTGGTCTACCTGGCAGAAAAAATTGTCATCAATTGTTATTTCAAAAGCCACTATAATGCTGTTTTTTTTTCTCATAGGGTATATACAAATTATTAATTTAAAAAACATAGTTATTGCATTAATAAAAACGTATTTATTTTAATTTTTACATAGATCGTTTTATTCATTTTTTTAATATTATTTTTATTTTATTTTTTAGATATCTCCGCATTTTTTTAACAATGGATATCATCAGTTGCTCCTACTTCTCACTTTCCTCTTTCACTCAACATAAAGCAGACTCAATACTCCTCAATGCCTCACCAAGGTTCGTTAGCTTCATTAATAGTGTTATTGTTTCAATAAATTTGTTTATTGGTTTTTATCTTCTTACTATATAATTATATCTGGCGTCATTTTAATGTTAATTTTTTGTAAAATTTTGATAATCTGGATAGAAACCTTTTTTTTCTTAAGCTTTTGCAATAGAAAACACTAGTTAAGAACAATACACTTTATTTTATGAATCGGACCATTATTTCATTTTTAAATCATTCAAATCAATGCAATAATCTTTATGGAGGATATGTTGAGCAACATAATACCCTTGTATATGAAGGATTACTAATCTGTTATAATTTTTCATCTCAAGCTTTTTTTCAATCTCACCTATCTTATATTTACTTCCATTAGTTCATTCATTAAATTGTTATTAAATAAAACTATATTGTATTCTGGATTTCGAAGGTATTTTTTAAAAGAATTAAAAAACAATCTTTATAGGGTTGTATTATTTTCAATTTATTTTTATCTTGTATTATTTATATTTTCCTAAGCTTCTGTCAACGTCTGTCATTATATATATATATATATATATATATATATATATATATATCTTACTCTAAGTTTATTCCAGATTATCAAAATTATAATTTTTATACTTGCGCAGCTGCGTCACTATAGCCCTATGAACACAAGTATTATTTTGGTTTTAAAGTTTATGTTTTTTAATATTTCATTTATTGTATTAACGCAAAACTAAATTTTATAGAATTTAACTAACTATATCTTCAACCGAATGATAATTTAGTAGTTAATGGTCAATTTAATATTTTTTCATAAAAATTAAATGTGATTATTGAATACCAATGTCAAGCCAGTAGAAATGATTTATTAGTGTTTATTTTTTTGAAATAATTTTTTTTCTAAATCTATTTTGGATACTTGTGTTCATATAGTTTTTTTTTGCTTTTGAGAATTATTTTTGGTACCCTAACACAGATGTTTTTAATCAATTTATATGATTTTAAAACATTTATGTTTATATCTATTTTGTACTTAAATTTTAGTGATAAAGTTTGTTTTTGTAACACGGAGAATAATGCACTTCATGCATTGTTTTCTTTTTTATGTGCAGAATTTTCTTTATATACAGTATGTCCTCAGAACGTCTTTACAAGAGCAAAAGCTTTTTTTATTAACATTTTCATAAAAAATACATTCCTTATAAAAATATTTTTCTTTTTAATATTTTCATTTCAATTTTTTTAACAAATATATTGTGAGCACACATTTTAAAATTATTTTTCATATATATATATACTGTGCGATTCAAGTATATTTATACTAAATTTGTTTTTTTAATGAATTTTAACCTTTAGTATTACTGGTTGTCTAATCGAATCTTATGTAATCTTATGTATGTGGTAATGTTCTTATTATTTAAAAAAAATCTTATTTCCAGTGGTAATTTTTTCTCTCAATTTTAGTATTTAAAATGTCTCTATCTTGTCATATTTATTTAACATATCTATTAGACCTCTACTCAAACTTTATCTCCTAAAATTTATGAATTTTACATATGAAAATGGTCTGCTAGGGTATATAATATATTTATTTTAGGATCAATTGAAATATCATAAGTCATAATATAAAAATTAACATTTGTATATCCATATTTGTTAAATATGTAATTTTAAGATAAAACACATTTTTACACAAAAATAATAATTCTAGTTTTATATGTGGCATATTTTTTTTCAGTTGGTCCTTCAACATTTAAAATCTTTTCACATAGATTTCATTCCACTTTAATGTCACAAAAAGATTTATTTTAATACCAATTTTGTATGTTGTTTGGTGTATTAGAATGTTATAAATATTGTTTTTAATATTTTGTTAATAATAGTTTTCTCTGATAATAGTGATCTATAGCTTACCTTTGCTATCTGTATAATAGGAAATATTTCTAAATATTTTTTGTTGAAAATAAGTATTACTTTATAACGTTTATTAAGCAAAATAAATTTGAAGATCCCTATTATTATCAAAGAGATATCATTAAAGTATTTCAAAACAATATCTTTTTTTTTTCAAACGTCACAAAACTATTATTTTATACTAATTTTTGCGACGTGATGACAACAAAGATTGACATATAAAAAAGTAATTTTTACGCTTAAACACAAAAGTGCAAAAATTATTATTAAACTGACATTAAGTGTCAAATTTAACAAGCGTAACCATAGTTTCTCGATATACATATAATTACTTACAACATATTACTTTTAAATATTTTTATATTTTTTGCAACGTTTGAAATTGTTTAAAACATTATTTGTGACGTTTGAAAAAAGAACATGTTCTATTTGGAGTAAAAATTACTTTTAGTGTCTCGCTGCAAAAAGTATCATATTTACTCCTAATAAAACAATATACCGTATGATCGAAAAAAACGGCGTCTAGTTGGCTTGGAAATGAACATTAATTACATTTCCCATATAATTTTATATATAAAATGACTGCGATCTTCATTTCATAGCCATCGTCGACGCCATTTTTATTCGATAATATTGTACTATTTCTGTACAAATGTTATTATCTGTTTTCTATATATTATTGTGATCTATTGCTGTATTTTTGTTATAAAAATGTTTTGTATACATCTATATTTAGTAGGCGTTTTAGAGATTCCGAGCACTACGTTTACGGTGATTTCTTTTTTCATTTTAAATATTTTTTTGTCGTGTCTAATAATTAATCAGCTAATTACAAATCTTTTTTTTAGTAGGTAAAAAAGAATAATTTATATTACCAGAGTATTGGGCCACTCTTGAGTTCCAAAAATAATCATGTTAGGTCTTCAGTTTGAGATTTTTACTGAATTTTTTTTATAAAACATACGGGTTACAGTAGACCATATTTTAAAGCCAGTTCGTAGATATGATATACACAGGGTGTTTTTATTATATTTTTGCTTTAGTATGTAAATGGTAGTATGTAAATAAAATGTTATTCAAATTTTAATTCTATTGTTATTTTAGATTTTTCTTGTACATTTTTAAAGCTTTCACAAATTTATAAAGTCGTATTTTTTTTAATTGAAAATATATTATACCGGGTGCGTCTCAAAAGTGATGGCTCACCCCTATAACTTTGTTATTTTTTCAGATAAAACAACGAGATTTGGTATGTTAGTATATGACATAAATTGGGATTGATTGACGTATTCAATTGTTATCGGTCACTTCCGGTTTCACCGGAAATGACTACAACTTTTCATTTTTAAATTGCACCCTCGGTATTTTTTTACTTTATTTGATAGAAAATGACGCTCTGAATCGAATGACATATCATATGTCAATTTTTGACATAGTGACTCAAAAACAAATTCTATTTTAAATTTCAATCTAGAGTGCTATGGCTGTGTTAAAAACACTAATTTTTAATCAAGGAGCCTTGGAAAAATAGATTTGATCGTCTAATGTTTTAGTGTCTTGTCCTGGCCGGTTAAAAGATGCCCAAATCCTATTTTTAATCATATCTCAATTTTTTCAAATGGAACGAGGGTGGCTCATTAGCATATTTTGGAAAAGCATTTTTTTACGAATAATTTGATACCACACATAGTACCGTATGATCGAGAAAAAACGGCGTCAGCGATGGCTATGAAATGAAGATTGCTGTCATTTTATATGTAAATTTATATGGGAAATGTCATCGATCGTCATTTCCCAGCCTACTGGACGCCGTTTTTTTTCGATCATACGGTATTTTGAGTCAAATTGTAGTCATGAACCGCATGTTACAATTTCAAATAAACCATATGTCAAAATGTCAAAAGTTGACATATGATATGTCATTCGATTCAGAGTGCCATTTTCTATCGAATAAAGTAAAAAATACCGAGAGTGCCATTTAAGAATCAAAAGTTGTAGTCATTTCCGGTGAAACCGGAAGTGACCGATAACAATTGCATACGTCAATCAATCCCAGTTTATGTCATATACTAACATACCAAATATCGTTGTTTTATCTGAAAAAATAAAAAAGTTATAGGGGGTGAGCCACTTTTGTGACACACCCGGTATAACAGAAGATCAAAACAAATTATACTAAAATACTTTATATGTTGGTAACTAAATATAATATAATACCTTTCTCTGCTATTTAAATAAAACACCCTTAATTTTATAATAATATCCTTTATAAATAACAAAATTGTGGCATTTTGTGAATATTTAGAAATTAAATATATCCAGATATATTTGAAAGTAGTATATAATAAAAAAATTATGCTTAAGTAATTACTACTTTAAATTACTCGACACAAATAAATTTCATTAAATATCATTCTTATGAGCTGATACTGTTGTTTTGTATGCATCTGACAAGCTTTTTCTGGAATAATTTATTTAATTAGCACTTATCAATTATCTGAACGAATTTTAAGGCTGTAAACTGTAGTTTTGGAATCTTTAAATATTTAGTCAGTGATGGGATTAAGATTTGTAATTTGTAATGATTAATCCATCACTGTAGTCCAATAGAAAATTGCGTAAATTAATTATATAAAGCTCATTTTACATAGAAAAATCATCTGAAAATATTTATCTCAATTTCTTTAAATTTTAGTATAACTGGTTGCCTAATCGATTCTTGCTCATTCAATCACCTTAAAAGTTAAAATTTGTACAATAATTAATATATTTGTTTATTGCTTTCTAAGTAAGTATTACTTTCAAATTTCAATTATAAAAAAATCGTTTAAATTACTACAGGGTGGCTCAGTGTTAAATAAACTAGGTGTTCTATTTGATATTTTCACTTCAATCTTTTTATTACAAAATATGCCGATAATATTAGAGCACATATTAAAGCCATTTAAAATTTCAGTTAACTAGAAGTTTACCTTGTTATTTAATATGTTTTTTATTTATTTATCAACTATTCAGTTCATTTTTTTTGTTTAATTTTAATTCATGCGATGAGCGATTAATTAATTTATGCAATTTTTAATTTTATATTAGTTTAAATGGAAAATAAACAACAGACCTTGTAAAAACTTCCATTGTTAAAATGTTTATT